TCTATGTTGGATAGTGATAGGCTTGAGGTTCCATTCACTGAAGAGGAAGTACTTAAGGCGTTATCAAGCTGTTATGGTGATAAAGCTCCAGGACCATATGGATTTACTATATGATTTCTCAAGGAGAGCTGGGAGGTGGTGCGCAGTGAGGTGATGGGCACCTTTCAAGATTTTCATTCTCCTGGCACATTTGAGAAATCATTGAACGCATCTTTTATTGCCCTTATTCCTAAGAAGGGCGGCGCCTCTGATATTAAGGACTTTCGGCCATTCAGCTTAGTGGGATGTATGTACAAGCTTATTGCCAAGGTTCTTGTTCTTAGGATGCAAATTGTTTTGGATGGAATTATTTCAGAGTCACAGAATGCTTTTGTTGGAGGACGGCAGATCTTTGATTCTGTTCTTATCGCAAGGGAATGTGTTGACTCTAGGTTGAAAGTGGAGTTCATGGCGTCTTATGCAAACTTGAGATCGAGAAAGTCTATGATCACGTTAATAGGAAGTTTCTTCATTACTTGCTTCGGAGGATGGGGTTCGGAGATAGGTGGATAAAATGGATCGAAACTTGTATTTTGTCCGTTATGTTCTCTGTGCTTGTGAACGGATCTCCTGCTGGTTTTTTTGCAAGCTCGCACGATTTGAGGCGAGTAGATCCCTTATCGTCTTTCTTATTTGTTATTTTCATGGAGGGATTGACCAGATTAATGAAAAGAGCGGAGGATTTGGGTTACATTAGGGGGTTCAGAGTCAGTAGAGATGTTGCTCATCAGATGGAGATCTCCCATTTGTTGTTTGCGGACGATACCTTTGGTTTTTGTGATGCCGATGTTTCCCAACTCAAATATTTAAGGTGCATTCTTGCTTGTTTCCAAGCGGTGTCCGGACTTAAGATTAATGTTGGAAAGAGTGTGCTTGTCCCTGGGGGATGTTTCAGATATTTCCTCTTTAGCTGCAATTCTTGGGTGGAGTGGGTGCTTTTTCACTTCCTTATTTGGGATTGCCTTTGGGAGTTTCCTCTAGGAGAGTGGGGAGTTGGGATTTGGTGATTAGTTGGTATGAAAAGAGATTGGCAGGATGGAAAAAACAGTATTTTTCGAAGGGGGGGAAGAGATTTGGGGGGGGGGGGGGGGAAGGTCACTCTTATTAAGAGTATCCTCTCGTCCCTTCCCATTTACTTTTTATCTCTGTTTCAAATCCCATGCTCTGTTGCTGAACTAGATTGAAAAAATTCAGAGAGACTTTCTTTGGGGTGGAAGACGAGAGGAGTTCAAGTATCATCTTGTTAATTGGGAGTAAGTTTGCAAACCTTTGAAATTAAGCGGTTTAGGCATTTGAAAACTTGTCACTTTCAATAGAGCTTTATTAGGAAAGTGGTTATGGAGGTTCGGTAAAGAGCGTCATCGACAGTGGAGAAGAGAGTGGGGGCTGGTCCTCTCGTCCTGTCTCTGTTACGAGAGGCGTTGGCATGTGGAAATTCATTCGGAAGGGTTGGGATGTGTTTTCCACCCACATTAGATTCAAGGTTCAGTAACGGTAGGCATGTTCAATTTTGGGAAGACTTATGGTGTGGTGATTAGTTGTTGTCTCATTCCTTTCCTCGTCTTTACAGTATTGCCGAGAATAAGCATGCTTACATAGTTGACTGTTATCAACTTGATAGCAGTGGGGTTACGTGAGATGTGCGTTTTAAGCGTTCTTTTCAGGATTGGGAGATGGTAGAAGTGTGCGTTTTTTTGGATCTGTTGTATAGACAGAAGGAGGTTGGCAGAGGCTGTGACGATATTTTGTGGGTCCCTTCCATTCATGGTAGATATGGTGTCCGGTCCATGTTCTTGTGTTTGTCCAATTTCGCTGGCGAAGATTTCCCATGGAAGTCTATATGGCGCTCTAAAGCTCCTCTTAAGAGTCGCATTCTCTGGTTGGACTGCCACCTGGGAAAAGATTTTGACATTGGATAATTTGAGAAAGAGAGGCAATACCATTGTTAACTGGTGTTGCCTATGTAAAACAGATGGTGAGTCCATGGGTCACATTCTTATGCATTGTCCTGTGGCGTATGATTGTTGGAATCTCATATTCAGTATTTTTGGCGTTCAGTGGGTGATGCATAAGCACTCCATTCAACTGATTAACGCATGGAGAAGATGCCCAGTCAAAGGTCATGCCCGTGATTTTTGGAGGATTGTCCCACACCGTGTTTGGTGGTGTATTTGCAGAGAGAGAAATAATAGAAATTTTGAAGGAAAGGAATCATCTCTAGCAAATTTAAAAACTCATTTTCTTCGTTATTGGACTCTATTGGTCCTTAGGTTTTTTGTTTTGTGTATTAAGGACGCGTTCCCCTTTTGAACGCTTTTCTAATATATTTTTTACTTATAAAAAAAAATTTGTTATTTCGGTTAGGAAAAAAAAAAGTAAAAGCGGAGTGCATTTATAATAATATGGAATTCATTCATAATCATCTCAAATAATTTTTATTTTTGTTCTTTTCAAGCGTTAAGCAATTTACTGTAGATTTGATCATAAAAAAATCTACAGTAGATTTAAAGATTATTGCATGCCATGGGGTAAATATTCAGATACATCCTAGACCCATTTGGTCCTGGCTGAATTATTGAGAACATAGGCAAAACTGGGAATTGCGAGCATATTTACCAAGGGTCATTTTGGCACTCAATGACCAACATAGATTTGTTCAAGATTCTTGTTGATGTGTGATGTTGGATGCACCTGATCAAGGTCTCATAGTAAATGTATAATCAAAATTGCAGAGGATGGTGGGTTCCGAGTCCTCTGTCAAAACGTAGTAAAAACATGTAAATTTTAATGTAAAATGTTAAAATTTGTGTTGTGGTTTCCTGAAAGCTTTCACCTGACAAAGAGCATCGATACATCTTTGCTACTCTCTCTCTCTAGACTCTCTATCCAGAGGTATTTCCTACTCCTAACTATAAGATCTGAATTTCTGGTTAGTAGAAACATATTTGGGTCTCCTCTCCATTTCAACCAAACCAGAAAATCAGATCTTATAGTTAGAAGTAGGAAATACCTCTGGATAGAGAGTCTGGAGAGAGATAGAGAGTATCAAAGATGTATCGATGCTCTTTGTCAGGTGAAAGCTTTCAGGAAACCATACACAAATTTTAACAAAATTTTACATTAAAATTTTCGTGTTTTTGACTATGTTTTGTACTCGGAACCCACCATCCTGATTATACATTTACTATGAGACCTTGATCAGGTGCATCCAACATCACACATTGATGAGAATCTTGCACGAATCTATGTTGGTCATTGAGTGCCTACATGACACGTGGTAAATATGATTGCAATTCCCAGTTTTTCCTTTTGTTCTCAATAATTCAGCCAAGACCAAATGGCTCTAGGATGTATCTGAATACTACCCCAGGGCATGCGATCACAATCCTTAACTCTACAGTAGATTTTTTAATTATCAAATCTACGGTAAATTGCTTGACGCTTAAAAAGAACAAAAATAAAAATTATTTTAGAGGATTATGAATGATTCCATAGTCTTATAAATGCACTCCACTTTTTGGGGTATATTTTGCTCTTGTTTTGACGTTGGAGCTCATCTAATTTGCGTTTTAGGGTCTCTTTGACTTCAGGTTTCTGTCACAGTCTTTCTGATGCATTTACTGGTTTCTATGGACTATAGTTGTAGATGGTGGTTCCCAAAGGAAGATAAAAGCCAATTTATTTGCTGGTTGTTTTCACATGTTTTTGTTTTCTTCTCCCTGTTGTTCTTTCTCCCTTCTCTCCCTCTCTTATTTGTTACCGGGCATCAACGCATATGTGATAAAGGGGACAAACATTATTTTTGAAGTTTGAACTAATCAGAGTATAGATTTATCTTTTTTTACTAAGTACTGGAGCTATAATGTTCATAGTAAGCTCTCCGGCTGCTGGTTCATTGCCATACAAACAATTTGATTTACACTAAGGTTTCATTTATCAAATATGAGAAATTTTTTGTTAGCTTTTGTTTTTCTTTTTGAGTTGGTGTGATGATTGTTTACAATACATCTTTTTCATAAGATGAATGGTGCCAGTTTCCGAAGGTCGAGAGAGTATACATTCCATCAAGAGATTCTTTCTCATGAAGATCGCAGAAGAAATTTTTTTTCCCCTCTTTACGTTCAAGGAGAGAGTTCCCCAGGAGTTATTTTATTATTCATTTCTACGTTTTCATTCTCTTTCTAAACTGTTATACATACCCTTAGAGGCTTCCTGTCGTGATCTTATAACAGTGTGTTACAGCTGGTGTTTGACTAACTGAAATGTATTGATTGAAAATTTGAGGTTGTGATGCTGGTTGAACATTTGTGAGGTTGTCTTTGCAACGATGGCCATTTTGTGTTAGTGTGGATCCAGAAATGGCTACTTTTGATTGGTGTTAAGGTGCAAGTAAAAGGAAATAGAAACCTTTTTCGGGCTTATTGATATGGGAACATTTGGTTGGTCTATTAAAACATACTCCGTATTTGTGTTGGAGCCTAAAATTTAGTCTATGACCCTGTTTCCAATTTGTTGGTCTAGAAAGAAGTATCCATGATAGCTATTCTTATTTTATGTTTACTTTAGATTAATATGCTGCTAGTTCTTTTTATTTATGTTTTCTTAGATTACAGTAGTAAAAAATATTGTGGTGATTTTCAAATTTGCTGTACATGGGCTATAATGTATGTGTCAGAATTTGGGTTGGCTTGAGTTATTAGGCCTTTATATGTGGTCTCAATGCCTAGCTAGTCAAAAGTTTCAAAGTTTATGACCTTGGATTGTTAATCCTAGTAAAAGTAAGAGAAATGTAACAATTTCTAATTTACCTATTTAATCTCTCAGTTTGATGAAGTTGAGTTTTAGTAAATTGAAGATCTTGTTACGTGTTGAACCAATTTATGTAATTCTTCGTTTTCCAATTTGGATATATGTAATAGTTTGACTTCCATCTAACATAAAAACTTTGGTAACTTTTGCAGTTGAAGGCGCTAGTTCCAGTTCATCAATTCGATAAGCTTCCTTCTTATTACATATTTGCCGGTCTGGTCTTTATTCCATTGACCCAGCCATACCTTCATGAGTATGGAGAAGACTGGTATAATACTTCACCCCGTCGATTGTGTGAACGAGCACTGAGGGAACTGCCTAAAAAGGCTGGTGAACAACTTGTCATTCTGTCTCAGGTCTTGTTCTTATTCTGAAAGTCACATGTCGTTGTATATTATTCAATGCTTTATTACTTGCGTAGTTGCATTATTAACACTTAGAAGGTGAGACTTTTAAGACATTTAGTCAATGACTACTTAATTCTAGGAGGTCAAAATCCTGATCGACGAGAAAGCTAAGCCCACAATTTGAATCTGCAAAGGGGAAAAACTGATTTCTATGCCCCCTGTTCTAATTGAATTGTACACCCAGAAGAAATAAAATTTATGGAACAGCTTGTTTCACAGGTCAACTAGTGAGAATTGATTCTATCACACATTTTTTAAAATAGAGAATATGGTTTATATCATGATTTGATTACCGCGCTTTTGTGTTTTTTGTATACATAGTTCTGTATAATTCTTCCATATAAAAGTATATCCTCCTTAGATAAGAGAAGTTTTAGAACTTATTTGCCAAATCCACAGTATCTCCTATGAATAAACCTTCTAAATATCACCCCGATCAATGTAATAACCTACTAGGACCAAATGTGACTGATAAAGCCCTAATGACTAGTAAAAATACGAAAACAAATACCCAAATTCTAAAAAATGAAAAGTACATAAAGTACCTCATAAAATTGTGTTTTGTGACTAACTAAAAAATAATAATAATTGTTGTGATATGTGCTTGTTATCTGTCCTTGATCACCCTTGTTCTTATAATCTCATTTGGGCTCCATCTTGCACCAAAACGACCTTGGACAACAGAGTTTATCCGGGGTCGGTGGTGGTGGACATGGATCTTGAACTTTTCGCCATCCTTGGATCTGTTCAGTTAAAGCATGAAATGATATTGCTTACTTTTCTGTATAATTGTCTAAAGCAGCACATAAAACATCTCTTGGCCTCATTACCTGCCTTGCCATATCTGCCTTTTGCTTCTCAACTGCCCATTTGAGTCCTTCGAATTAACAGAAAAGCATATTGGTTAATGACATCTACCATGTCCAAGAAGTTGTATTGTTTTTGTCTTTGATAACTACTTCTTATTCTTCTTCTATTTTTTTTATTTTTTATTTTTGTTGCGTCAAACTGTTGAAGCTACATACTTCATATATAAGTGATTGAACATGTAATTTGAAATTTTTTCAGGTTTTGATGGATGACATCAATGCGGGGTATGAGCGTCTTGCCGAACTACAGGTAAACACCATTTTTTTTTCCTTATTTTTTATATTTTATTATTGTCCATCTAATGTTCAGCTCATCTTTTTGATGGTTCATCTTTATTTATATTTTATTTTTACCTTGGCAAGAAACTCACACACCCACTTTGCCCTTATGGGGACTTAAACACTCGACCTACTTTGAAATGTGAGGAAGTACCACTAGGCTACAACCCTTGGTTTTTTGATGGTTCATCTTTAATGTGATGCTCTTAACCACTGCCTTCTAAACGGGGTTTTAAGATCTAACACCTTGTTCACTTAAAAGGTCTCCTTGGTTGAAAGTCGAAGAAGGTGTTCAAAATCAATCTATTTATCTTAAATGGGGTTTTAGGATCTAGCACCTTGTTCACTTAAAAGTCTCCTTGGTCGAAAGTCCAAGGTGATCAAAATCAATCTATTTATATTTCAATTTCTTTTCCTTCATTTATTTAATTTTCAAAGAAGTTTTTTTAAAACATTCCACCATGAAAAATCAATTTGGATCAGTTGAGTTTTCTGGTAAAAGTTGACTTTTGAAGCAGGAAATCTGTAGGTTTATTCCCCAGTTAGGCAAAATCATATACAAGCACCCATTATTGTCCCATTTGGACTTGAACTCTCAACATTACGTTTGGAAGGAAGAGGAGATACCCTTTGGGCTAAGTCCTCGGTTGGGGTAGTTATATGATAATGAACTTGGATATCTATAGTTCATAATGAGTTTATTCTTGTTTGCTTGTGGAAATACTGAACAACTATGTGATGAGCAGGTAAAGAAAGTTAACGGGGTAGAAGTTGAGAATTTGAAACATTTATGCCAGCTTGTGGATAACTGTAGCGAGGAGAGCTTAAGGTTTGATTTGGACGAAGAAAGGGTCATTGTTTTGAACTATGGTTCAGCAAAAATAGCCACTTCTCGAATATTGACGCGTCATAGAATACCTTCTGCCAAGTCTGGCGACCTTGTTGATGAATAAAAAGAAGAGAATTTTGTTTGCTTAAAGCTGAGTCATCCTCTTCTTCTTAAAATTTTGATTCGGTGAATTTATTAGTTTTATTTATTTATTTCTTTCTGGGATATTATTATGATCATATGTCATTCTTAAGAACAATATTGGTGGACTCGAGGCCTCCACCTTAGGGATAGAAAATTTATGCAGGATACCAAAGGCCATTGATTGTTGTACATTTTTATTCTATTACTGTATTGAAACTGGCATCAATTTCAAAATTAACAAAATCTTGATTTATAGCTATTGAAATTATAATGTTGAGGTTGTTACAGAGTTTTAGGGTCTTGAATTATGATCTAATGTGCATCGAAACATATCATTGAAGTTGTCATAAAAACATATCATTGGATGAGCTCTTGGATTTTGAATGGTAGGTCCTTTTTGGTCATTAAGAATCCAAAGGATGGGAAGTGTACACGCACAAACACGAGAAATGTGCTAGAAATGTACAGTTTTATTCAGTTTTTTACTGCCGAACCAATCCATGTAATAATATCTCACATGCACACACATTAATATAATATGAACTGAGTCTTTTAAATGGTTTTTTTTTTTTTTTTTTTTTTTTTTTTTTTTTTTTTTTTTTTTTTTAGTATTTCAATGAAAAGGGGCATTATAGGTATTTTATTGGGAAAGGGGAATACGATTTGAACTTATTTAAAAACATTTATAGAACTGGGATTTTATGGCGTCAATAAAAATAGTGTAAATTATACTGGCCTCCCTCGTGTTTGTCATAATTATAGGATCTTTCTCTATGATTTGAAAAATTACTCGATTTCTCCTAAAATTAAAATTAACCCACACATTCCTTTCTAGTAATGGACAGTCAAATGTACTAATAGATTTATTTAATTTACTAAAATGTCCTTAACTTATTATGCTAAATGACTATAGTATCCATCTGTATGTGTGTAATATGGAAATTTCAAATAGTAATATGGAAATTTCAAATTATTCAGTACATGACATAAACAAAATTCGTTGACCGTAACAAAAAGGGAAGTTTTTAGTTACATTTTTAGGGAGGTCCGAGTAATTATCCAAACTATACCGGTCTGTGTAAAACCAGGTCAGGTCCTTGAAATGATATATATATATATATATATATATATATATATATATATATTTTAATTCAATTTATTGAATTGTATTGTAATCATTTGTCAGTATTCACTAGTTACAATTTTTTTTGGATAATTAATAAAAGTCCATTACATCTGGTGAATTAGCTCTTTGATCCTCACAAAACCTAATTTGGACTCAATTTTCTAATTTTCTATATATGGGGAGAGAGAGAGAGCAAAGAAAGTGAGAGAGATGTGGTAGAAAAGATGGTGAGAGAGATGAAAGGAAGACCATAATGCAAGGATCAAAAGGCAAAAGATTGAGCTGCCTAGTGTTTGGTTATGGTCATAGTGTTTTGTGGGAGAATTGAACGGCTCTCCATTTGCCCCTTTCGTATAAAAGCTCATTGGGGCTCTGAAATCCTCTGAATACACCCCACAATAGACAGAGAGAGAGAGAGAGAGGCAGAAAAGAAGAGTGAAAATATATAGGGAGAGAGATGAGTAGGGAGACATTGGTTCTTGTTTCATTGATATCATCATGTCTATGGTCATTGGTCCAAGGAGAGGACCCTTACTTGTATTTCACATGGAATATCACATATGGCACCCTATCACCCCTTGGTGTCCCCCAACAAGTTATTCTCATCAATGGTGAGTTCCCGGGACCAAACATCAACTGTACTTCCAACAACAACATCGTTGTCAATGTGTTCAACAACATTGACGAGCCTTTCCTTCTAACATGGAAAGGAATTCAGCAGAGAAAGAATTCTTGGCAGGACGGAATGGTTGGCACCAACTGTCCCATCTCCCCCGGAACCAATTACACCTACCATTTTCAAGTCAAGGACCAAATCGGAACCTACTTTTACTACCCCTCCACCTCCGTCCACCGCGCTGCTGGGGGCTTCGGAGGCCTCCGTGTCCACAGCCGCCCCCTCATCCCTGTCCCATTCCCAAACCCGGAGGACGAGTACACCGTCCTCATAGGCGACTGGTACATTAAGAGCCACTCCGCTTTAAGAAAGATCCTCGATAGTGGCCGGTCGATACGTAGGCCGGACGGAGTCATCATCAACGGCAAGAATGCAAAGATGGACGGCAAGGATGAGCCCATGTACACTATGAAACCCGGTATGGTATACCGTTATAGGGTTTGTAATGTAGGCATGAAGAACACGCTCAATTTTAGAATCCAAGGCCACAAAATGAAGCTTGTGGAAATGGAGGGTTCTCACACGGTGCAAAACGTGTATGACTCTATGGACGTGCACTTAGGTCAGTGCATGTCGCTCCTGGTCACCGCCGACCAAGACCCGCAGGACTACTACATGGTGGCTTCCACAAGATTCACCAAATACCATCTCCAAGGTGCAGCCATTTTTCGTTACACTGACGGAAAAGGTCCGGCCTCTCCGGCAATACCACCAGGACCGACCGGGTGGGCGTGGTCGCTGAACCAGTTCCGGACCTTCCGGTGGAACCTCACAGCCAGTGCAGCCCGTCCGAACCCACAGGGCTCGTACCACTACGGGAAAATCAACGTTACCCGGACAATCAAGCTGGCTAACTCTCATGGCGTGGTGGAGGGAAAGCTCCGGTATGCCGTCAATGGGGTGTCGCATACAGACACTGCCACCCCGTTGAAGCTTGCTGAGTACTTTGGAGCGGCGGAGAAGGTGTTCAAATATGATAGCATCGGCGATGAACCGCCGGCCGAGGACAAGATCAAGGTGGTGCCTAATGTGGTGAATGCCACATTCCGGAACTTTATAGAGATCATTTTGGAGAACACTGAAAAGGGAGTTCAGTCATGGCACTTGAATGGATATGCCTTCTTTCCAGTCGCGTAAGTAAAATGACTAATACAATTTTAATTTAATTTTTTTTTTTTTTAAATTTTAAAAATAGCAGTTTTGGACAGTCGTACCTTTTCAATCTCATTCATTAAATCCATAACATCCATAATGCAGTTCATATGTATTCGAATCACCACATCCAAATTTGTCACGATTGTCCTCGGTATCTGCCCTTTAAAAGAATAAAAATATATATATTCTTTTATGATTTTTTTTTCATATAAAAGAAAGGGAGTTGTATGCACGGACCTACATTGCCTGATTTTATTTTTATTTTTTTATTATTATTAATATATCCTACTAAGTTGCTCTTTTTCAGCTATATATCTCTAAAATACTACTATTGATCCCCTGAAATTAATAAAAGATGTCATTATTACCCCCCTTACCTTATTTTCTAAGTCCGTCCCTGATTTTATGTAATTAGGGAACTTTATAAAAAAATCTCATCATCACATTTTCATGATACACTTGAAAGGAAAAAAAAAAAAAAAAAAAAAAAAAAAAAAAATTTAATAATAATAATTTACCCAAAAAAAATAATAATAACTTGTCCATAGTTTCATCTTATTACATGACCATACAGATTGAAAAGAGTTTCATTGGATTAGGATCCCACCAACAATAAATTTTTGTAATGGCAACAATAACACCTTGCTCCCACAACTATGTGTGTCTCGATAATATATATATATATAATTTGAAGTAGCCAAAAAATGATGCGATGCATTTTTGCATGCAATTTGCAGGATTGAAACAGGTAAATGGAGTCCAGAAAAGAGAAGAAACTACAATCTTCTTGACGCAGTAAGCAGATACACCATCCAAGTCTACCCGAAATCTTGGGCAGCCATCATGACGTCATTTGACAACCCTGGAATGTGGAGCTTGAGATCAATGGCTCTAGAGAGGCACTATCTGGGACAACAGCTCTACATCAGTGTTGTCTCTCCTGCGCGCTCCCTCCGGGACGAATATAACATCCCCGACGACGCCACTCTCTGTGGCGTCGTCAAGGGCTTGCCCAAGCCCCCGCCTTACGGCATCTGAATCTGAATCTGAATCTGAATCTTCTCCGTCATGCCATGAGTCTCTTTGTCGGTGATAGCACTCGGCGGCAGAAGTTAGGATAGTACTAGATCATGAAAAGGTGTTGCATGGGATGGTTGGCCATGCAATGTACGTATCAACTTTGTCACTAGAAATTTTGTTTTTGTTTTTATTATTTTATTTTATTTTTAGTTAATTTTTTTCCTCAGTCCAGCATCCGGTATATAGAAAGGGATGAACATTGGCTATGGCGCTAATAGTGTCCTTTTTTTTTTTTTTGTAATGTATTGTTGTAATTCATCTAATGAAATTATTTCTTTGTAATAACATAATGATGGTGACTTTACTCGACTTTTGAAATTATTGTTGTAGAATTGAAAATTATGGTTTTCAAAGTAAGTTTCCATTTCCAATTTCCATACTTTGGAAATTTGAAAATTAAACCAAAAAAAAGTAAGGAAAAAAGATGGGAACATGTATCCAAAACATACCCTAAATGAATTTCATTTTTGTCAGGCACCTTGCGAACTCGAGTATGTAATAAATGCGAATGTATTATTATCTTAAAGTTTGAACTAGCATAATTTACATTCCATGGCATCTTATATTCATGCAAATTTTTCGATAGTCCAGTGGTCAGTATCTTTGGTGAATTTTAGAATATCAAACTTTTACTTTATACATCTACTAATCTAACTTTTAATACTTTTTACCTTTGAAAAAAAAAAAAAAAATTGCAAAGGCGTAGAATCTCCTTCATTGAAAATGATACTATATATATATTTTCAATAATTGAGGTGTTCGAGTCCTTATATAGATCGTGTAAAATTCGGACTATGTATGCGGGAGATGGCCCCTAAGGAATTATTTGCACATAGGAAGAATAGATCGTGAGACCTGGTGTTGCATGGGCATCAGGACCTAAATTTTTTCCAACTAGGCCAACCCATTAGAACTAAAATTATTAGACAACTTGATACTAATTATTTTCATTTGTGAATAGTATTGTAATGGATTTATTCGAAATGATATGAATTTTGATGCAAAATGTGAATGTAATTATCCGATTTCTGAGGACGTGCTTACAAATGCCCATGGTTCGAATTATTTTTAAAATTTAGTTAATTTCTTTCATAAACGTACACTATTTAATCTTAAGGTGAATACTCTAGCCTCTCCACTGAATGAGAGTATCCAATTTCTTTTAGAACACCAACCACGGTAAAAGGAAAAAACAAAAAAGAAAAACCTCAAAAAAAATATGTTTTGTGGTTCTATGTTCCTAACATATGGTGGCATTGTGTATCCAAGGGAAAAAATAATAATAATAAAAAATAAAAAATTCCAAATAAGAAAAATATAATTCATTCACAAACCCTTGGGTTTCTCCCTTGAAACTACCGATTATCATCATATTATAATAACAGTTGGCCAATCAATCTATACTTTTTAGCTTCTGAACACAACATATAAATATTCCTGTGTAGACAATCCACAAAAATGTTGACAGACAACGCCTAGATACAGCTTCATACATATATATCTATATATATTTGCCATTGATGTCAATGTCAACAACTGCCCATGTACATAATTCTGGAACCACGCACGCCCAACAACAGCAAGAGTTGAAAACTGAAGAAAACTCAAGCCCAAAAGGAACTACCTAAATGGCTTAAAACCCAAACAAACTGAGGTTGGCAACCATGCCGTGTGATCTATGTATAAAATCATTCAGAACAACTGAACAAAGTTCCCCAGTTATGAAATCTCAACATTATGCAACCAAGAAAGAAGTAAACCCTTCACCCAGCACTCAAATCGGCTCTTATCTATAACGAACACACAACTTATTGACAAAGAAAAAGATCACCCCTCTTTGACCTATGTAATTCTCGGAACAAGTTCCTTGGTTAAGAAATCTCAGCATTACGCACACAAGCAAGAAGCAAACTCTTCACGGCCTCAGCATCTAAAACGGCTCTTACCCCTCTTTGACCTATGTAATTCTGCATGAAGTCTGCCTTTAACCGAATGGATCCCCAGAAACTATCCTTCTTTATCTTCCTTGGTTTCCACAGCAGCTGCCACAGTCTCACTGCTTGAAGATGTCGTCTCGTCATTCATGGAATGACCACCACTGTGGACCATGTTAACATCACCTGTTGTGGGCGAGAGAGCCACAATTGGGGGGTTGGAAACAGAACCACTCTCTTCAAGTTGTTTTGACCTATTCAGAGCATTGCAATGTGGGCAGTAGTAAGTTAAGTATGGGAAATCCTCCTTCCTTGCAAGCCCTGCACAAAAAGAAAAAAAAAAAAGGAGACAAATTTGGTTGATTCGTTCCATCACATTCAGCATAGAACAAAACTTAAATCTCATTGTTGGAGGGCTCTCTTCAGAAAATAAGAGGCAAAAATAAATCTATAAAAAATTCAAGAATGTGCAACCCAGTCCACTCACCATTGTGCATATGACAGTTGCCGCATATAAGGGCATAAGACTCCGTTGGATCCTCGCCCACAAGCAGTGCAGCAATTCGAGCAATCCATCCCCCGTCATGTGTGGTTGATCCCGGGTCATGGTGATGTTCCACAACCAGCTGATTGTTCTTAGAAGACTCAGGGCTCTCATTACCTTCATGATGGAGCATTTCCTCATCAGCATGATCGAATACAGTGCTCCCTGGGATACCAGATCTAGTTTGCAATTGTTTTCGATTGCGGAGCCCACTAGATTGCATGACTTCAACATCATTGCTCTTTCCTGTAGGGGAACCGAGCTTGGACTCATCCCCAACATATATATTAAAGCCAGAATCTGAACCCAACTTGGATGCAAGGATACTTGCAGCAGCTGCCTTTGCTGCTGGATCAGTGTCATATCTCTGCATAAGAGATTGCAGTAAGTATATCATGCAGTTTCAAGTACAAAGATAATGCATTTGTAGGGAATTGTTATGATAGATGCAATTATATAATAGAGGCAACCACTCAAAGATGAACAAAGTCTCAGCCTAGAAGTTAATCTTATGCTTGATGACCCAGTTATGCAGAAACAGTGAACCTTCAATACTTAAAATGTAATGATTTGATAATTTCTAATCATTAATAGTTCTAAGAGTAACCAACTAGCTTCCATAGTGGATACAAATTCACAGTTCCATTACTTCATAACAATTTGTTGTAAAGTAAGAAGGAATTATCTAGAGATACAAACACTCAGAGAAGAAAGCGTGATAATATTCTCATGTCATACTTGGGTCAATGTTATTCTCGACCAATGAAACACAGTGTGACTTGCCTGTCTCAGCAACATTTCACATAGTGACTTAATTTAAATTTTTTTTTTTATTTTTCCCTTTCACCTTTAAGAGTTGCAAATTGTATATGAGTATGTTGAAAATATTGTTTGAAAATGTATGTTTTGTCCAAAGTTTAAAAGTTTTAGCAAATTAGTTAAATAAATTTGGTAATTAATCCATTAAATGATAGAATTTTGTCTCCCACAATTACCAATTATCTGAGTGGACTGAATATGAGATGAATAATCACCAAAATAGACTACCAAAACAAGACACCGTTAGGTTCATCTAAATTCATTTTTCTTTCAAAATAAATTTTACATTTTTAGTTTAGTCTTTTAACCAGGCATTTTGAGATATCATTCTAACATTCACAACTTATTTGTTAGCATAATTCCGACTTGACTGATCGACTCCAACTCAACCACACTTGAGTATGAGGCAGGCCAAGATCTAGGCCAAAACAAAAAATAATTTGAGATGACCGTGATTTTCGGTTAAAACCCCTATTTTCAGCCTTCTCTCATTCTTTTTCTAAATCTTGAGGCCAACAAATAGACAGAAACCAAAACTCCAACCCTACCAAACTATAGATTTACAACTCAGGAAGTAAAAAACTCGATACTTTCCAGTAGATTTACATTCTAAGTGTTTGGAACTTGATATTAACAGTTAAGAAAATTTCAGTAAACAACTAATTTGTGTATAATATAAGTTATAAACATAATCCATATTACGCATATATTGATGTAAAATTGTTTTGCATAAAAAATCAAATACAAAGTTCTTTTGGTCCCTCTTGATACCTTATTGGAGCTTTGTACCTAGACCGGTCACCAATGGCTAAAACCTTACAAGAATTCGAGACTTGAAATTTACATAATTAGTAAAATTCATTGAAAATTTATTTAAAAATAGAAACAAGCTAATAAGTAAGAGTATATAATCTTTTACGTATATGATTCCCAAGTGCCAACTACATGTATACTCATTTCCAACTAAGTTATCAGTTCAATATAATTTTTGTGAATATGACATGTTTATTTTTTGTTTTAATATGCATTTGTGGCCATAATATAAGTGCAAATTATTAATTATTATACTGGTAGTGTGCACAACACCTTGAAATTTAATTTACAGGCCATTACTCATAAATACACCTTGGAATATTCATTAAGAATCGTTAAAAAAATCAGTTCATATTTCCGAGTGTTTAATAATAATAATAAAATAAATAAGAGAGAAAAATCTCAATCTTGTGCCTCATCCTGAATATTCCTTTGATGCATTACTTATTCCCTATGCATTCAAATTTTAAATCATAAAACAATAGAACTTCAAAGGTAGAGATCTATCACAAAAATTATGTGATAATCTCCACAAGCAACACAACAAGAATACAACATGGCTAGCTTCTAATTATATCACCTGAATGAGCTGTTGTGTACTGTAGTAATTTGTCTTCTCTTTAAGTTCATCAATTTTTTCTTGCCTTTCGACCCGAAGCCTTTCCAAAGTTTTCTGGTCCTTGCGATCACCTGTAAAATCACATGGGTAAACAAAAATTAGATTTCTAATCAGAATGAAACTCTTCCCCAGAAAGAGAGTAGTGTGAATGTGTGGTTCCATCATGATTCATGGTACGTGAACATACATAGATATAAAAAAAACTATAATATGTAGCAACCCATTAACTTGACAATCCACCCCTCAATGACGATGCGCTACATGGCAACTCGAAGAACTGTGTGTATCTCATTAGACTACACGTGCCTGGCGACCTTCTAGTAGAACACACGACCGCCTCTCCATGCATGATTTTCCTGGTGCATACTATTCAGTAAGGTCTCTACACTTGAGTATTTAATGTGCTTACCTGCGTCAGAGGCAACATTCAGGTACAAGCTCAAGCTTGGCGATCAATTATGACGTGACCATCAGCATCTAATTGTAATTCTGCGATTGTGGTTTAAACCTTTCGCAATGCGTTGTGATAAAAAAGTACAATTTTTTACGTTGTGTTGCAATCCCCATGATCAAAATGAAAGCGCATAGTACATCATAACCTAGCGATTGTGTTGAAGCACATGCACTAAGTTGTGATCACCATGATTATGGTGAAAACACAAAGGCGCCACATGTCTTCTTTCCATTCTCAAAGTATTGTTATCTCTACTCTGAGGAAACGTCCACCTCCGTGATGAGTTGCATTCTATTAAAATAGCTGCTGCTCATCAGAATCCAATATGATAAGAAAACGGAGAATTTTAAAAATTCTATGGAAGGCTGAAGCACCGTTTTATATTCTCTAGGCTTGCCCGCAAAAGGTTTGCTATTAACCTAGAGACCATAACCCTCTTAGAGGCTTCAAGAAATTTGAGGTTGTTAATAATTGGCAACAAGATTGTGGCACTAATCGCTTTATGAAATACATTAATGATTTGACCACGACTTAGAGCAGAAGAACAGATGGATCCCTACATCACTCATGATTAAGCTGATGGGTCAGCTAAAAGCCTAAAACTACTATGCAATTGAGAGAGAAGGAGAGAGAAGGAGGGGGGGTGGGGTTGGGGGCGGCATTTTATCCTTCTTGAGCATTCTTTAGACTGATGCAGGTAGAGATTGTTTTTCCCAAGCGTTTGTCAAATTTTTTATTTTTTTTCTTTTTCATTTGGGTTTATCTGCTAATCAGGCTTGAAGGATTCCTCATTCTCCTACCCATGTACTCTTGTTTTCTTTTTCTTTTTTCCCTGGTAAATACCCTTGTACTCTTGTTTCTCCACTCTAATAAATAAAAAAATGCTCCTCCAATCAGCTGTAAACCTATTTAGTCAAAACTTAACCAGCTTGAAAGTGTAATTGTAACGGATTAAAAGAGAAAAATAAAGTGTAGTTGCAAGGAAATTCCTTTAAAGTTGCAAAATTGCACAAGGGTATTAAAATTTGATGTCATAGGATTCATGTAGCCGACCTCAAGTAGTTGGGAAAAAGGCTTCTTGTTGTTGTACTACAAGTAACCTAAATGCAATTTTGATTTTCTTCACTTCATGATATACAGCTACTTCTATTTCATCCTCCATATTTCTGCCAATTAACCGCTGTATTTTTTATTTGTCATGGCAAGTGGCCATAAAAGCCATATTAGGACTATTTATGAATAAGAGTGATAGTATGGTATTTCTATATGCTCTTTGAGTAGTCCAAATCAAAATTCATCACATCTTAAAAGAAGAAAGAGCAGTAAACGAGACAAGTAACAATAAATAAATAAAAAAAGATTTTCCAGGACTTCTCAGAAAAGTAAGGAAGGAGGCATTCAAAAGGCCGATGACAACACAGCTCTAAACCAAGTCATGAGCGATAACAAAACCAAGCCACCGCCTATAGGCGAAGGATTGAAAGCCCAACAAAGGCCTATGCAACAATTAGAAAGAAAGTACGTTAAGGTTACAAAGTCAGTAAGCTGTTGATATTATTATTATTATATGTAAGTAGGTGGTAATGGTTCTTTATATTGACTTTGTTTGTAGCCTTAGGCTTTTACTTTGGGAGGGACCATATACCCTGCATGTACATAAGCATTGCCCCTTTCCCTTTCTTTATTTTAGTAAAACTTCTACTAAAATAATAATTAAAAAAGATCCAATAACTTAAGTTGGAATCTCATACTGCCTCAAGGTATACCCAAAACATAAATTACCTAGCTTAGGCTCCAAAACTCAAGTATACAAGGATTCAATGGAAACACGTCCAATGTTTTCTATGAAACTGCATCTTCAGCAAGATGACAAAAAAACCCAAAACATAAAATTTACATAGATATGCATGTCCTTAGAAAATCATTAGTCCAACTACTAAAAGTGAAAAAATAAACAGCAAAAGCAAAAATAATTTTCAAGGGAAACAAAATTCTGTAAGGAATTTTAAGATACTTACACATCCTTGTGAAGCTTGCAAGTGCTGAGTAAGTAAGGGTAGATAAACCAGGCAAAAGGAACATTGGCAAAATTCGGAATGCCCTCATTTTCCAGTTCAAGTCCAACGATCTTGTTGTCATGATAGCATAACCCACTGCAATAACCTGACAATTGAAACCAAACCACCTTAACACAAAGAAGAAGATAAAGAAACTATTCCCCCTCCATTCCCTCCCTCACTTCCTCTGCATGCATGACTCTAGGCTGATAGCATGGGCAAATATATTTTAAAGAGGATTTGATTCGATAAAATTTGGCTTTAAAATTAAGAATATAGAGATTTTCACTCAACTCTCTCCAAGCTGCTGAGATATATTTTTTACCCTAAACAGATGTGGGAAGTGGTGCAATGATTTTTCTTTTTTTGGGGGGTGGTGGTGGTGTGTGTGGAGCGTTGGTATGGTCAGCAGCTGTATAGATGGTATGGTCAGCAGCATTGTAATGGGAACAACGGAGGTGGCATCTGCAGTGGGTTACAAGGGAAGTGAGAACAGCTTTGGGAAAAATGGTTAGTGAGAATACAGTCAAAAAAGTAAAAGAGAAAGAAAAATAAGGCTAGAAATGCGGGGGAAGAAGTGGGAAAAAAAACCAAAATACTCCTTATAGGAAGAGAAGAGAGTAGGTTGACGGTTGATGTTGTGCATGCATAAAGGAGTTGTTCAAGTGTGGTGCACCGGCTATGTTCCTGTGTTTGGAACTTGGAACTCTGGGTCTGGGACTTCTTGGGATTTAGATTTTAAAATCGAATTCATATTATTTGAACAAATGGAATTAAAAACGAAACTTCCTTTTATGGAATTTGGGAGGAAAATTTACAGTGTCTGGATCTGGAAATTAGTTACCATCCTTGACATATAAATTTGCAACTTACCCAATTTGCCCCTTTTATGTGAAAGATAAATGGCAAATCCAATCCATAAGGGTAAAATGGTAAAAGAGATTTGATTCCAAATAAAATAAAATAAGAGATTTCATTTCAAATACAATCATTTCCTTTTCCTTTTTCCAATCCCAATCCAAAAGGATTTGGTTCCAAACACAGTTTGTTCTCTAAATCAAATGAAAATACACTATAAATGGTATCAATGATTACATCAAGTCATCAAGTACACAAACAAGCTCAAGCTAAAGAAATATCTATTTATCCAAGTTATGCATGGTAATTATTTAACATTTTTGCAGAGGAACTGACGCTTCAAGTCACATGCACAAACAACTTTTGGTCCCTGTTACAGAAATAAAAGAAGCCCGCAACTTACCTCGAAAATCACAGAGAATACTATCAGGTTCCTGGCCATCTTCCTCCAACTCCGAGATCGCTTCTTCATTCTAGCAAGAACAGCAGCTTCTTCCTTGGAAATATGTTGCAGTCGCTTCTCAAAATCATCACCATGTGTCCTAAAGACTCCATTCCAAATTCGAGACAAAACTCCTCCCTGCTTCTTCTTCACAACAGTCACCTTGTCTTTCTTTTCAGTAGTAGATACATCCAAACTTTCATCTACATTTTGGTCCTTATTGGTCTCCGCAGCCATGTCCTACAAGTTAGTTTGAAGTCACAACCATGATGCTTTTTTTGTTGTATATATCGCCACAATAGATAATTCCAAATTTATTATCATATGATGATACATCAAAATATACCCTAGTAAGGGAGAAAGAGAAGCAATAACAATCTTCAACATTCTGGAACAGTTACAAATTAATATAATTATAGATAAAATCTATCATAAAAGAGCGACCACTGCAAGAAATCTAGGGCACAATGATCCTGCATTCGCTGATATGCTAGGCACCTGCTTACTTGCCTAAAAAAGCACATGACTTCTAATGTCTTTCTCAAAACTAAAGTAGTTTTAATTACGCATACACCCTAAACACAACAGAAATTTAATCCGGAAGCAGGGATGATGCATGACAGTTCGCCAAACTGAATAAAGCATAATTAAAAAAAATCACGACACAAAATCATAGGTTTATGTCTAACACCAGCATGATACATGGATCCTCTTGTCGATAAAGCGGTAGCAGGGGCGGAAGTGAATACAATAACTTGGACAGATTTATAGAGAAAAAACAGAATCTAACATATTAATAATAAGGGAAAAAACATGAAATCCTAACAGATTAAACTGAGATTGGAGATCTAAAACTAATACCGTAGTGATAAAATTGTTTGCAAGAAAATATAATAGCTATTATTCCAATAACAAAATTCAAGTTATCGTGCTACCATACACAAATTTAAACTATGCTACAAGGACTCACCTTATCAACCCAAGGTATCCATGTCTACAGGACACAACATGGTACACATATCATACATGTTGGATAGATGTGCCCAACTGTTCTACATGCGATAACGAACCAGACACAACTGTGGGATCTCTTGCATTGAATTCCAATGTTTTGCTATTTAAAGTAGTGTTCAATCAAGAGAGCTCCGATAGCATCAAATTAAGGGGCTTCAATCCTATTGAATGCAGACAGAGTTACTAATTTTTACATGTACAAACCGATCCAATTACTTATTAAAGAGAGCTCTTTTTCATAAGTCAAAGTTTCCAAATTTCAAGTCGCAAGTATTTCTTTTATTTCTTTCTTCTCCCTACCAGTCTCGAAACCTTGACCTGTGGCTTGGAAGTTAAGACCCAAAGCTACCAAGACAAAGGTAGACCGGTGAGTCACAAGTATTTGTATTTATAAACTAACACCATCATTTCAATACTTTTTATACATCCAAATTTACTATAGTTTTGTTTATGTATACCCTTTTTTTGTTTTTTGATAAGTATTTGTTTATGCATACCCTTAATTATTTATAAAAAGGACCATTAGCCAAAGTAGTCCCATTAATCAAGGGCTACACGACGAACTAAATATAGACCTAACTATTGATATTAGTTTTACCACCAAAAGCTTAGCTTTAGTAGTATCTCTGCATTTCATGTAGAAGGTTGAAGGTTCAAGTCCCCATAAGGGGCAAATGAGGTTAAGGATGGTTCCACACCTAGATACACATTCATTACAAACATTCTGAGTACATATAAGATAGATGAAACTCAACTCAATAAAGCTTTTTCCCAACTATTTGGGGTTGACTATGTAAATCATTTTCGTCATTCCACTCTACAATCATAACAACGTTCAAACCACATTCTATCATATACTTCCTTACTTTTCTTAGCCAATGTTAGACTATTGGTTCTATTCTTCCTCACATAACGAAACTATCTTAATCCTCATCTTATCCCCTTCAATTGTCTCATTAACATGTTCATTTCTAATTTTATTTTTTCTTATCTAACCACACATCAATCTCAACATTAGCTTTTCTGCTATTGATCCCCAAACTATGTCCAACGACTCCAAGCTTACCTCGTCCTCCATGGTTCATTTTTAAATGTTCCAAGTGGTAAACAGTGTTTTTAGCTTTTCAAAGACGTGGAAGAGGCTCTAATGATGACGATGAGCACTAGGACTAAGGATCAAAGAGTTACAATAAGCTAAAGAAGTCCACACACAATTCCTATTGAATCTTGGGAAAGGGGCAACCTCAAAGTCCAATTGCACACACAGACGCACAAAAGCACTCTCTAGCAATTTAAAAAAGAACGTGGGATCAGTTGAATTTGATGATTTTAGATAGGAGTGCTGTGGAATGGCAGAAGCATTGGACGGGGGATCAATGGATTCTTTTCCTCTAAGACTGATTAAATGAAATTTGTTAGCCAAAATGTTATAATCAATTGATAAATGTACAAAGGCATTAACTTTCTTCATATCATGAGGCTAGGGTCATTTTTTGGGGATGAAAATAAAAGTGTTACACAATAGTAATGCATGATTTTAGGAAGTAAAGAAAAAAGAAGGTATTAAACAGTACAGTTGGTGAATTTGGTAAAAGCCCCACTCACAAGATGATGTGATTACGTCATTGAGAAAGAAAAAAAAAGTTGCATATTCATGCATCCTACATTTTTACAGTATATGTTTCCCATTTTTTACATACCTACTACTACCCATTTGTTTCCGAAATTGTCAGTATATTACCCAACTAATGATACAACATGCTTGTGATTCAGAAAAGCAGGATGCTGATTCATAATATGAATACTGATTTTGACAACTAATATTCAGAACGACTTAATTTGTATCATCATTTCCTACATGATTCTAAATAACCACTGTCATGTTACAAATCAGATCCTGCTAAATATTGAAAAAAACAAAAAATTTAAAATAAAAAAAGGATTGCTAAATGATGTGTCTTATTTTTTTGTTGCTGCAGATGCTTGCCATAATTGATAAAAATGAAGAGTGATATTTTGATTGTGCTTAAAAATCATGGGTACATTTAAATAGATGATTTGTCATTATTTGGGATACCTGAAATGAAGGCAATTGAAAAGGAGGTGAATGGAATCAATTCGTTTTAAAGTTCATCATTTGGACAAATGCATTAAGTTCCAAAAAAGTAATGAAGTTTGCCAACACTGAAAGTGACACATGTAGTGATGATGTAATTGGACCATAATGAATTAATGATGGTGGCAATTGTAACAATGGCAGTAGTGGGGATAAAGGAGTCAGTTACAAAGGCGGCAATGTGATGTTAGTGACTATACCAATGGCACTGAGCAATGACAGAATTGAAATGATGGCAGGGAAAATAGTCTAGTAGTGGCAACAGCGGTTGTTTTGTGACCAACACCTGAATGGCAATGTAGTGTTCTCTAACGATGATCTTGATGGTGGCAGTGATGATAGCAACCATGGTGTTATTATGGTCGTGGTGGTGCGGTAGTAATCCATGCCTCACAAACGTGGTGACCCACTGAACCATTATGCTCAATATGAGAAGGAATATGTAGCAAAAACAAATTCTATAATAGGACCTTAATTTGGTGATTTTTGAACAACCAAATGACAATCTTCAAATTCCTGCTAGTGGCACATCAAAAACTACAGAACCAACTCAAACCAATACCTAAAGGTAATAAGCATTCTGGGTTGATCCCCTCACGGAGTACAGAAGGGCACCGGTACCCACATTCACATGCATGAAACTCACTGTTTGATCAATTCAGTGCCACCAAAGCCTCAAAACACAACCATTATATATGCAGCATCCACAAAACCAAGTCCCTGAATTACTAGCATTCTGTGAGCTCAATACACCAGAACATCCAAGCAAAACATTTAACAATCAAAACTTAAACAAGTCCAATGTAAAGAGAACATTCAAACCTCACGAGATGAACAGCTAAACAACAATTGATTTCCATTAAACGCACTGGGTTAGCACTCAGTAACTAAAAAAACCCAGCCATTGGGACTCAAATCCGAATTGGGTCGACTCTACCTCGCCATGAGGACACCAAAATTAACTACCCCTCAAGCAAATTTTGACTCAGCTGAGTCAATGCAGCGCTCAAATCACTATTGCTAATGTTATCCAATACATGACACCGATTTGCTACAACCAAACCACTTATATTCACACAACAACATTGCTCCCCCAAGACAGAGTTGACTCGGTGAGTCTAGATGCACAAATGGCCCTAGATTTGGTTCACGTCGGTGATCTAAATCCAAAAACACGACGGGCAGAGAGAGAGGTCAGCGAGTCGTGTTGAAAATGGGTCTGTGTTGGGTAACTGGATTCAAACCTGGGTTGAACCCGGTTCGTCCCTAGTTAGAACAAAGCGGAGAGAAGAGGGATATTTATATAAACATACATACATATACATATATACAGTAATGAATATATATATATATATATAGAGAGAGAGAGAGAGAGAGAGATTACCTGGTATGATGATGGGTTTAACAGCAGTGATCGATGATCCGTTCCGATCTCTTCTTCTTGATCCTTAGATCAATTAATCATCGCATGGATTCGGGGAAATGAAACAACTGAGTGGTGGTGATTCAAGTTGTGAACGCTTAATGGAACAACGGCGTTGAATGATTGGGTTTTGGTGGCTGTACGGCGGAGGTTGTATGTCGCCGATGGTGGGTCACCGGAGATCCTCAACACCCGGGCACCTCGTCGTCCTCTTACCCCTCAAACAAGGAAATTCTCTATTTTATGGTCCCGATAGTTTGTTTGTGGGCAATAATGGAAGGCCTATGGAAGGAACTTTAATAAAATCTTTTTGAAATACAAAAAAAAATGTTAGGAATGTCAATTTTAATCAGCAAAATCTAGCAAGCTCATTTTGGCTTCGTGCCCAAGGTTATGTTCTATTTGGTTTTTTGTTTTTGTTTTTTTATATTTTTTCATATATGTTCGGTTTGGTTGGACCAATGGAAAAATATAATATGAAAGTGAGCAAAAATAATAATGGACACATGATCATTCTTAAGAAATGAATATCATATCTCTCCCCTTTTTTCTTTTATTGAAAAGACGAATGAGATATGTCACACTTTTTCTTTTTCTTCTTTTAAAGTAAATTTTACTTACTTATTAAGGTTTGTCAATATTATCATCATCCTACATTTTATAATCCTACTTACTTATTTTGGAGTTATGACTTATATAATAGAGTTCTCCTTCCATTTAGGCAGTTGACCAAGACAAATAGGATTTGTTAAGAAATGAATGTTAGCAACAGAAAATGAATAAAATGTTAGTTTTGCTCTTTTAGTACTGGAAAAGAATTTTAATTTTGCCCTTCTGACGTCTGAAATGACAACAAATATTTCTGGAGGTAAATTGAATTGAACTATAAAAGCTTGACAAATTTCAAGAGAGGTGAGTGAAATTTAAACCCCCCACTTCCCTTTTTTTTTTTAGTTGGGAGGAATAATTTTAATATTTTAAACCAATAGACCCTCATTATATAAAATTATAAAAAAAAAGCCTTTATTTGAAGTTAAAATTGGTATTATATATATTGAAATAATTGTTCTTTCTTTTCCTCTTCTCTTCTGCCCAATTTTTGACCGATAAAAAACTTCAAAGTTGGTCATTCCTCCTTGCTTCCTCCATCTCTTCCATTCCTTTTAACCAAACAGGAGAAGACTCGTCCATCCTCCTCTCTTCTATCCCTCCTCAATTAATCCTTCAAACCAAACATAGTATTCATAAGCACCATCTCATTTAGAGCAATTTCATTTTTATTTTTATTTTTTGGTAAGTACAATTTTATTTATGGGTTTGGCTACTTTAAAATTTGTATTGGTTCTCGAAATGACTATGTGATCACCAAACTCTCTCAAACGTCTTGGGAGATGCATGAGTTTCTTGTCGATATAAAAGTAAATAACCATATCATCAAATTTGATGTTAAATTTCTCTCTTTTATTAGTTGAGTCATTAGTGATAATTTTGAAGAGATTCAAGCACTGACAAGCTGACTTGACAAAACTAAAAGCAAATCTGTTCATACTTACAACACTATCATTAACACGTCTTACACAATATTTAGTGCCAACCATATCATTAACCATTGCATAAATGACAAAACTCACCTACGCTTTTATTACACATAATTACTTAACCTACTCTGAGATTTGCAAGTTACATCTCCTGATTAAATTTTGATTAAAATTGTTATCTATGGCATTTGTGAAATTGTTATTTAACTAGAAATAAAATTAATTAAAAACCATTTAACTGTCCTTTGCAATAGAGAGAGGTTATACCACCTACCTAATCCTTATTAAATTTAATAAAGTGCCAAAAATATTTGTATTAACTATGTTCAAATTTTTATAATTAATAACACGTTAAGTAGATACTCTCTTCTAATTGCGATCCAATCACAAACGTTCACATTATTTTTAATTACAAAATTAATAAGGAAAACACCTACATAATAAATCACAATGTAATTGGACATCAACAGTCGGAAGGAGCACCCAAATCCAAATTAGATAAGACATCATTGTTCATCAGATAGCATCAATATTTTTGGGGAAAAAATAAATAAAAATTCAAAGGTTAATTTTCTAATTTGACTAAAACTAGGCTTAAGAAGAGTAATCAAGTGTAATATATGTTTTTTTTTTTTTTTTTTTTTCTATTTTATTTTAATATCTTGGCAAGAAATTCGCACCACTTTGCACTTGCAGAAATTTGAATCATTAATCTTCAACTCCGAAACGAAATACATACATAATACATAACCATACGATGGTATAACTTATAAGCCCTCCATCCCAAAGTAGGGGCAAAATATAGAGGGTGTGCGCGTTTGCTTAAACTAAGCATTTTCCATGTGACACGTCACCCAACCCATTTAGGAAAAATAATTATTGCTCAACACATAATTGTCATTGATTCTTTCTGCTTATTTTTGAACCATAAACTGTAAAGAGAAGCAGTTGTAAAATGTCGCCGGCTTACTCTTCCTAATCAACAGCCACAAACCATTGTCGTGGAGAAATAATGCAACACTTTGCGAATGCATGCATACGAGTGGCATCACACAACACACACACACACACAAAAATGGAGAGAGAGAGACATGGATAATTAATGTATTGAATGTGATGGAAGAAAAATAAGAACGGATCTCATTTCACACCCAAGCTGATTTTCTACCTACGGTGAAGTTTATATTGTTCACAAGCTACAGAACTACAACACCCTTTACAACATACATTTCGTGACCAACTGAAAAATGCCGTAGCGTCTCACTTGTTAAAGAATAAGCCTCTCTTCTTCCCTTTCCTTTTCTCACTAGCCTGCAATCAAATGGAATAATCCAGAAGTCAATAGATGGCAATTGCTTACCTAAACGAAGACAGTTTCAAACAAATTATTGAACTTGAATGAGACTATTCAATCAAGCGTGTGCAAGTAAAATGGTAAAGAAAATGTTTAATGTCAATACTTGAAATCTGGTTTTAAAAAAAATGTTGCAGAAAGAAAGCCAGTATCTTAAATGTCAGTAGCTCGGCAAAAGCCTTGTATGCATTAATGCTGCCTCACTGTTTTCTATCATGCTTCCGGTATGGTTTCCCATGTCAACCACACCCCAGCATGCAGGAACACACGCACCACGCGCATGCGCGCATGGACAGACAAAGAGAGATGAACTAATTAACATTGACTTCTTGACCTTTTAGTGTTGACCAGCCACCCATCTATATCATTTCTCCTATTACTAGGCAAAAACAGTGAATGGGGGCTAGCAAAACCAAGAATCAATTTCAACCACCTCCATTGCCACCCCAAACCAAGCGCAAGATCTTTCAACAGGTGAAGCCTGAGAAGGGCTGTTCAAATGGGTCACTTGAAAATCAATAATACTTGAAAAGAATAGAACGGACAATAAATAAATAAATAATATGTAGCAGTGGGAACTGATAACAGATCATCTCGGGACTCTTTACCGCAGGAAAAAATGAAAAGAGTTTGTTTCCAAGCCAATAAGGAACCGATATCAGTTCATTTAATGACGGAACCTTGAAATCATCCCACTAAGAGGTGGACCACTAAATCCTCAAGACGGGCCTGAGGATTTAGTAGAAGTCTTCTGCCCTCTTAAATGCAAGGCTAAGGCTTATTTATAGTCATGGATTGGAGGTAAAATGGATGCCCAAGCAAATGTATAATGAGAGGGTCGAAAAGAGATCACCATAGGACTCTTTACCACAGGTATCAATGAATTAAGTGCCTTTTCAGGCCAAAAAGGAATCTGAAGCGATGATCTAAGTTCATTCAATGACAGAACCATTGGCATCGTACCAATTAGGGGTGGACGTTGTCAAACTATATTATTGAAGGATTCTTTATAGAAGAAAATGAAAATGTTGGATATGCCATTAAAAAAGGCATTATGATAAAAATATATAAATAAAATAGAATAATATATGCAATATTTCTAGGATTAAATGGATATGATAAATATAAACTCCAAGGAGATGAGACTTAGATGATGGACTAACTTATGAATTATTTTTGAAATAGATGAAGAAACATCTTTAGCAGATGATTAGAAGAGTATTGAAAATTTTCAATGATGAAAATGATGACAACCATAGAAAGAATAATAGAGGAATTCTTTTATAAATCTAATGGATGGGAAAACGGGAAACCACCACAGGAAGCTTCTGCAAGCACATAAAAAAATGAGCTGCAAAAGGCTATTCAGGTGAAGAAATGCAAGTCAATAGTTAACACAGAAGTAGTCACGCCTAGATAAAGAACAAATATTGAACTATTACTGAGTGTGCAGGAAAATGCTAATCCACAATATTCGGAAGTAATTACATTATTTATCATTTTTAGATTTGTTAGATGAGACCATATCATTCTAATCCTGTGCCACTGCAGTCCACCTGTGACTTAAAAGTCTTAAATCCTGCATACTAGAACAAGAAGCATTGACAAAGAACCATCTATTAGGTGCACTGAAGAGCATAGTGTACAGGGTAGATTGGATGTTAATTGTAACAGTTCCGGCAAAGGTAACACATAGTTCTTGAGCATGACATTTTCTATCTATATACGAATATTGAGTACTGGGTTCCATCTAAATGGGCAAAGAGAATAATTTTTATACAGTGGCCAGCGCAGATTGTACATATGTTATATAAAATATTCATAATCAATCACAGAAGCTCTTTAATTGTTAATGCAAATATATGGCAATATATGTACAGGAGAAATGTTCTCTTGGAGAGCAAACGAAAATATAACTGCATGACAGAATCTAATAATAGGTGCCTAATATTTAAAGAATTTTTTTTTCTTGGGATTTAAGGTAAATAAATAAAAGAAAGAAAAAAAAAAAAAAAAAACCCCAAAATTTCCTGCCATTCATACTGAGAAACATGTCTTGAAAGTAAGAAGTCATACCCTTCTGATAAACAATCTCATGATGAGAACAATTGTATCTCTTGAACTGCAAAATGGAGAAAAAAGTAAAGGTCACATACATTCATTAAAACAAAATCACATAAAAGTTTAAGCATAGGACATCTGCTGCTTCTCCAAATTCAACAGATAAAACACTATCATAGAAGCCTCAATTATGAATTAGACAATTCCTTATGTAAATTTCAACCAGTGTTGACTGTTGATCCAAAAAACAATACAAATTTAATCACTGATTCTTGTGGGAGAGAAAAAGGATAGCACAGGTACAGAAGCACATGAATGAAGGATCACATCTTATAATCAAGTTCAAGACACACACTAGTTTTCAAAGTCCTTTCAGCTGTGTTCCATGTTGTTTCTATTATTTATTTTAATAATCACAATCTTGTTAGTGATCTTTTCACTTTGATCAATTTAATTAGAATCCTAATAGATAGTGCTGCTGCATTAAGTGTTAATCTAGCACAATCTGCATGGTAGCTATTAGTTGTGGACTGTAAAATGCTCTACATGAAAAGTTTGAGGATAAAAATTTGAGTTTGAGAGCCACACTTTGTGCAAAATAATACTGTAGTTGGGTCTGCCCACAGTCCAACCCTCACAACATAGGTTGGACCAACACTAGGTTATTCATGCAATCAGCTTATGAAAAAAAGTAGAATCAGTAAAAAGGGAAAACACGGAGCTAGTTCAAGCTAAAAAAAAATAGCTTAAACACCCACCACAACTCAATCCCAAAAGGGAGAGGTAGAAAGTTGCAGTAGCAGGCTAAATAAATTGATAATACATCAAAAACTGCTGATTACAACTTGGAACAACCCTTTTATAAGGCACAAGGGATGCCCTAGCAAAGATTTAATCCTAGCCCTTCATATAAATGTAATTTAAAGGCTAGTATTCTGTCCAGCAGAATAAATAGTCAAAAAAATGACAAAAAATTCCTTAAATAGTCACATGACTCATTTAAAAGGCATGTGACTTAATAAATAAAACCAGAATGACAATAATATCCTAAACATGAAATAAAGACAGATTTAAAACTTATATAAATGACTCAAGACCCATAAACAATCACACAATCTGATCACATCATCAGCTGCTCCTATTAATGGAAACTCAGTCTAGCCTTCTTATGATGTTCAAGTATTTGAAAATAGTCCTCTTCCATTTGCTCTCATCAGTTATATAGCCTTTTTATTTTGTTTACTCATATGATTTTTGTTCCTTAAGAAGAGTGCATAATTTAAACTAAAATAAAATTTTAAAGGGTTAGCTGGAGACTATGGGTAAAGATGTATTATATGCTTCACGAATGAAGAAAAAAGTTAGTAATCATTTAACATTGTAAGAAATGAAAGCCACCCTTTCTGTAGCAGGAGTAGAATACAACAGAGGACTCAAATAACAGTATTTAATAGTTTGATAAATTTGATGGAAGTCTTCATTGAAGATATATGTATATCAAGAGAGACTATGTGAGACATACCAGCTAGTATCTATTGAACTATTATCTGCGCGTAATATATGTTCGTTTCCCCCAGAACCAATTATAGAAAATTCTGTATCCTGTCCAAATGGAATATTAACCTGCAAAAGAGAGAAAAAATCACAACAGATTTAAAGTAAAAAAAATTGACAAAGCTTCTTAGCACATTATATTAAACATATGTAATTTTTAAAATATTTTCTGTCCTACTTGAGAACTTTTAAACCAAAATAGTACATGCTCCTTGGGGAGGGCAGGAAGAAATTTAGTTGATACAAAAACCAATATTTCTTCTTAAACGAATTCTGTTTCATGAAAATGAACCCTACCAAGGGTTACAGCCCTGTGGTATCTCCTTTGCCTCCCAAAGTGGAAGGTTAAGGGTTCAAGTCCCCATAGGGTGAGTTATTTGCTAGGTCCAAATATATATATATATATATATATATATATATATATATATATATATATATATATATATATATTATATTCTGATCACTAAAGCTGGCAAAAAACTACTAGGGGATTATAAGAAAATGCTTTGGGAATTTACAACCTTAATACATGTGTATGAAAGCACTGTGGAAGGTTAAGGGTTCAAGTCCCCATAGGGTGAGTTATTTGCTAGGTCCAAATATATATATATATATATATATTATATTCTGATTACTAAAGCTGGCAAAAAACTACTAGGGGATTATAAGAAAATGCTTTGGGAATTTACAACCTTAATACATGTGTATAAAAGCACTGTGGAATCATAACATTACGTATATGATTCTACATTACAAATTTGTTATCATCAAAATAAAAGGTAGCACCCGAATAGTAATTAATTAAAAAAAAAGCATAAGGTACACATATAAGTTACCGTATCCTGCCAAAAGAGAAGGTATACAATAAAGTAGTACATAGCATTTATAAAAATAAGGAAATGGCAAGTACTTCGTACATCAGACTGGATGGAGAAAAGAAAAGTGCTCACTAAAGTTCACATATAATTATCCATTGAAACTGATACAATTCCAATCACATGCATTTGTTCTTTAACTTTCCCAAGTCTGTTTTCATATACTCCAAATCTGCCTACATGGGCATGGGCAAGATGGTGTGAAGCTTTTGGAAATAAACCAGGTTCCCCAAGTTCAACTCCTAGACAATCCCTGAAACATGTGGTTTCTGCGTCACCTCATGTACCCAAGATATTTGTCCCACCTCCACAGGAAGTGTAAATACCCCATGACACCAAAATAAATAGAAAGATCTTCCAAACCACCAAAAGATGTAGGTCCATCGGGCAATGATAGAGGTTGTAACCAAACATCTCCACTTCCATAACTGAATGTTACCACAAACGTAACGAACCCAATAAACAATCTCGTAACACGACCAAAAAAAAAAAAAAAAAAAAAAACGCGCCCCTCAAAGAACACAAAGAGAAGCATACCCATTTATTTCTTTGCTTTTCTTACCCTTCATCAAAGAGAAACATACCCTCTAATAAAGTTTATCCGGCATCACAGGCAGAAACAATGCAAGTGTTAACAACTATCTACTCCAAAATCTTAAGTTGTTAGAGAGGGTGCAACTTTAATATTTAAATCCTTCAAACCACCCCTCACGTGTGGCTTTCTTTTAGTCCAACACATGTTTCGATTTTAATTATCAGGGTAACGGTGACGGATGACGGTGAGGTTAGAACACAAGATCTTACATGCTCTGATACCACGTTAACAACCATCTACTCCAAAAGCTTAAGCAATTAGAGAGGGTGTAACTTTAATATTTAAATCCTTCAACAGCAAGCTACATTTAAAACAAGATCAAGCTGTGCTCAATCAAGATCTAACTTCTACCAAACCCATAACTTGACAAGGCCCAGTTGTTACAAATTGAAATTATGTTGTCAAATAAACAATATACAAATATGAAAGCACCCATTTATGTAATATTTGACTTCATTACGGGCAGTGTTCTTCTCTGTCATTCCAAATATTCAACTAAATGTTTGCCCACATTTGGAATAAGTGCTTGATATGCTTCAGAACAATTATGAGCATTGCCAAATCCAAATTAAAAAGGCTCAAGTAAGCAGGCTACATGCACATTAAGCTAAACTATGCACAATTGGAATCTACATTCAATAGAGCCCACATTTGTACACACATAGTTGTGCTATAAAAGGTGAAAGAACTACAAAACGTTAACTTTCCTTTTAACCCAAAAAAATATATATATTAAAAAAAATTAAAAATTAAAAAAGAAGCAGCAATAAACAAAAAACAAAAAAAGCCATCTTCTTCACAAAATCAAAATTTACATTTTAGAATTAGAAGTACATAAGACTTTAATATTGCATGTTTTCTCAAAATAAAAAATTATAACCCTACAGGGGTAAGTGAGATTTTTAATGCTATATAAAAGACTAAGCGAACAAGAATCATACACTAGTGGTCGGTGAAAACTTCTCACTGACTACAACACCACTAGATCCACTGCACTTGATACTGTAACCACCCCTCTTGATGGCCAAGGTAGCTGGCTCCCATATATCAAGATAGCCAGTCTGTACAATTAAATAAATGTAAAAGTTGAATCATTAACTTAAGCCTCTTCAAGAAAAATAATATTGTATAGCCTTACACTAAGAATTTGATAACTTAATAGGAAGAGCAGAAAAATAGACTAGGCAATTAGTCATAAAAAGAGACTAGGGAATTAATCATACCGGCAATGACACCAAATATGAAGCCTGACCATCATAAAGTGTCTTTTCAATGTGGCTTTGCATTTCAGGATCTGCGGCAACAAGGGAAAAGAGAGAAGCATATCGCAACATTAATGCACTTGCAATATGTTAGGTCCAAATAGGATGTGCACAACTAAATAAGATAGGAAAAATCGAGGTTCTCAATTACAAATTAATATCAAGGGGACAGCAATGCTGCGTCTCCTAACAAGAAAAAGAAAAACGAAAAAAAAAAAAGGATCATCTATCAAGGTAAAAAAACTAAATCATCCCAAAAGCAAATAACATGGTTATGAAACAATATAGCTTACAATTTGTGGAATCGTAATTTTTTTTTTCCTAGTTGGTACTCACATACACTTGTCTCTTTCGAGACTTGAACCCCTAACCTCCCTTTGAGAAGTAAGAGACTGATACCTCTAAGCCACTGCCCGTTGGTATTTTTATTTTTTATTTATTTTTGATAAGTAAGACAATTGTATAGAAGCACTCAAAAGGGGAGCGAAGCCCAAAAGAACTACACAAGGCCAAAAAGGGCCTCTAAACTTTCAAAAAGTCCAAAAAATCAACAATCTCCTCTAAAGATATATTATTGCTCCCCGCAACCCAACAAAAAAGAGTGGAGATAATAGAGAACTTAAGCATAGAAATAGGATTCTCCTTTCCTTCGAAAGATCATCTCTTGTTCCTCTCAAGCCAAATACATCACCAGATAGACAAAGGCGTAACCCTCCAAGCATCCCGGACTTGGACCTCCATTGAACCCCAAACACACCAAGCATCAAATCCCAACAGTCCCTAGCCATGGTGCAGTGCAAAAGGAGGTGATCCACTGTCTCCTAGGCACGAAGGCACATACAACAACAGTTGACCACCACCTGATTCCTTCTCCTCAAATTATCTTGCTTCAAAATCTTCCATAAAATAGACGTCCAAGCAAAGAAGGCCACCTTGAGGGGGGACTTGGAGCGCCAAACAGCCTTCCACGGGAAAGGAGCCCCTGGCACCTCCGTAAAACACCTATAGAAGGATCGAACATCAAAACGACCCTGAGAAGCAGGGGCCCACACCCAACCATCAGAATCTCCACCCGTGATCTCCTGGCAATACAGGATTTCCAAAAAACCAATGGCGTCCTCAATCTCCTTATGAAGCAATATAGCTTACATACAACAAGGTCTACATCTCCTTTCTCCCTCCAACACAAAGTAAGGTTAAACATTCCTAAATGAACAATGTTGATCTTCAGAATTTTGGAGGGCAAGTTTTGGAACTCCAAGGGAGACGTGCATTAAATGCATGTCCCCTTACAAAGTTCGAGTACCCAAAAGGAACACTTAGTTTGGGACAGGTTTTTTCAATGCTTACTGATACTCGAATATACCAGTTGCACTAATTCTCCTTTGCATTTTAGTTGAGTACTCTGGAAATTAAAGAATTGCAATCCGGAGATGAAATTAGAAGCGGCAGCAAATTACACCCAAAAACTACAAAGAAAAATGTGATACAGTGGCATGTTTCTCAGGTGACTGGGAAACTACGGTAAACCCAATCCAAAATACATGGTAATGAAAAATAAAGCATAAAAACATATAAAGAACCTATTTTACTAGATCTAAATATCTAATACAGCGATGTCATGTTGGGTTTAAGAGTAACAGGCACCACCTCAAATACATACCCAAAGTAATGAAATACCCTTGCGTTATTTTTGGTATTCCTAAAATAACCTTGGTCATATATAATTTCAATCTCAGCAACTAAGGGTTCTAGGTTATTTTGTTGAAAACCAATTCTCTTCATCTTTCACTTGGTCCTTCGAAGATCAGAGACCGCCTCTCCAATTTTCATCTCACTGCCACTATATGGTATTGTGAAGCAAAAATAATTAATGGTGTGTTGGGAAGTGTTGGAAAAAAAAGTCAAAGAGTCATTCTTGTTTTTGGGTACTAATTAATCAACCTTTGGAACTACCAAGTGTTTACTTAGGGAAGTGGTAAAAATGTTATTAATGTTGTGTGGGAATTCTAAAAGCATTTTAGGAGAAGTCATGTGTGACATCTTGGATTTTTATGAGGTTTTTTAAATTGTTAAGTAAATTATTTTTCTTTGCAATTATTATTATTTTTTCTCTTGCTGCCACATGAATTTATTTTGCCTTATCCTTAATATTTAAAATGCATCAAGATTTACTTTCCTATTCTATGTGAGTTAAGTTGTTTTATTTCTATTTTTGCTGAATTTTTTTCTATAGTGGTATTGTGCTATTTTCCTTGTTTTAAGTACAAAGGTGGGTCCAATATGCAATTAGTTAGCTAAGTTGTGCGGGTTCACTATTAGAGGAAATTGTGGGGAAGCATTGTTGTTCCTCTGTATTTAAATTAGTTGGTGGGAGAAACTTACAATTTACACAAGATATATATATTAGTGGGAAATTAAGCACCAGTCAATATTCCTAGCATCCTAAGGACACGTTTGTGTTCTAAGGTTGACACCAAGACTCCAAGCTTAGGCCTTTCCACATATTTCTCTGCATGTAAGATTATCTAAAAGAAACTAATAGAAAGGGGAAATCGAGCAAGGAAGAGAGGAAGAGAAAGGGAGGCCGAGAAAGGCTGGGATTTATTCATCGCTATTTATTCATCTATGTAATTGGTAGGGATTCTCTAATTTTGCTGATTTGGGAGATTTTCATTCTCTAAAATTTCTTTGATAGTCCTATATGTTATCTTGAAATTACTTTGGCTGTAAGCTCATTAAATATTGCTCTCTAGTCGTAATACTTAGAATTTTTGAATGTCATGTTTTCTAATATGTATAAATTCTGATTTTCCTCTTTGAAATATTGAGATAAGCATTGTCTATATTCTGTTAAAAACTGATTTTTTTTCTTTAATTATTTGAAAAGAAGGGTACTTCCAGTTAAGGTTTTATAAAAATTCCTTTATGCATATTGTGTAAAAGTGAGATGTTTACTGGGTTGTGCATAAGAAACAAATTGAGTAGACTTCCTTCAAGTTTGAACTTCTAAGTTGGTACAATAAACATCATGAAAACAGATTTTCTTGCGTGAATTGAGATTAGGTGGGGTGAAGTCTCGGAAGGGAAAAGAGGGTACGAGCTACCCTAGGGTGAAAGTCCCAAAACCCGCAGCGGTAGACCCTTGTTTGGGTATTTGGGAGTTGTTTACATACCGATTGGTGTGAGAGTGACAGTGTGGGACACTCTGGGATGAGTTGAAGGTGTTCGATGAATTGTTCCAAAGAAAAGAAAATGTTTTTCAACAAAATTCCTGAATATTTTGTTAGCTCACTATGAGTTTTGTCTGTTCCTTTGTATGAAAATATAAAATTCTGATATATAACATAGTCTATAGTCAAATTATATTTTTTGAAAGTTCATCATGTGCACAAAACCTCATTGAGGCATCATTAGAGTTTTTCTACTGGGCGTTGTCTCACTCCTAACAATTTTCAGGTACTGTCAACCGAGATGGTGGACATGGAGATGCTAATTGTGGTCCATGACTTGCTTTTGCACTGGATATATTTTTGGATCGAAGCCTATGTTGCTTGATGAAATTAAGCTGATAGCATGATCAGTTTTTTTTGGCTCTCGTTATAGTAGTTATAGTTTGACTCCTGAAGCAGGTTGTAGAATTGTCACTTTTTGTGCTGGTTCGAAAATGTTAGCATGCTCTTCCATTGTGTATATTTGATTTTGGTGTTGTATATAGTTGGCTTAAGTTGTAAAGCATGCTATGGGGTTAATGTATGGGTTTAACCTATTTCAGGGTATTAGTTGTACCCTCTTTTATGTGTGTACCAATGTAGTTTTTGTGAATTGACTAAGTTTCTACTCATCTATATAAAGACCTTGGTGTGTAAATGTTATCCGTTTCCATGTAAATGGATAATTGTGTTATGTAGAATTTCCTTTGCTGCCTAGGGTATATTTATGTAATCAATGTCAAGTTTGGGTTCTCGTTATCATGAGTTATACTCTACGTCATTAAGAATCTGTCATCGGGGATGCACCTTTTATTTATTTTTATTTTTTCCTTGAGGTCAGCATTATTGTATACAAGTAATCTTGATGATGTGGCTGGGTGTTCAATAACTGGTAGCAGGGAACTAAAATAGTTAACTATCCCATAGCCAACAACGGATTATTTCTCCTTAGTCTTACTTGGACAAAATTCTTAAGAGGTGATGTCGTGTCCCGATTACTATGATATTTTTACCACAAGTACCCAAAGGAGGGTAGTACCACTCTGTAAAATATTGTGATTTTTGGACAAGCAGATAATTTTCTAAAAATCTGACTCTACCTGCTGTTCGTCCTTTATTCACTGCTGGAAAATAGAGTTTGGATTATTTATTAGGCTAACTTTTCGACTTCGTAGCATTATCAAAATTTCCAGATTTTAAGTTCTTCAAGTCTACTTTATAAAAAAAAAAAATCAAATCTATGGAATTTCTCTCAGTTCGCTATTTTTTTCAAATGAACAAAATTTACTGAAGGGTCTATGTCTAGCTTACATTTTATGCGTTGTCATACCTTGAAAAACTGTTTTCATTGGCTAAGATTAAGCTGCTGGGAGTGACCCGTCTATGTTACCCTCGGTGTCTACTTTCCAAATCATTTTTGTTTGCTCCGTTTCGATCTAAAATGAATTTTCTACGAATTTTTTTATTAACCGCTGCTTAGTTTTTCTACCAATTAGAATGAGCTGTCTTATCTTCTTTGGAACCGTAATTTTTTCGTGCCTTATAAATTTGGGGCATGACATCATGTGTCATTAAAAGTTGTATTATAAAAGGGAGCCCTCTTATTTGTTGTAACCAAGTCATAACCATTAACAATTTGAGTTATTATCGGTTTGTAAACTTCTCAAAAGGCTTTTCCCAAATTTCCCTTAGAAATCTAGGCTCCAACAGTGACTGGAGAATTTGTAGTCTTCCTTACTATTGTAAGAAGAGTTTTATTTATTTATTTATATTTATTATTATTATTATTTTCTGATTGCTTCATTGTGCCATTAGGGTATAAGCTAAGTTAGATCTTTTTCTCTTCTTTTTTTTCCATGAATAATTTAGATCTTTTTTTCTCTTCATCTATCACTTCATCAATATATTTAAGCTCTTTTGTTATTGACGAGCTTTTTTTTTATAGGTTTTTGTATTAGTTGGGAAAAGGATTTGTCTGTTCTAATGTGTCAATGTTATGAATAGTTTGTGTACAACCATGAGAAGATGATGGACACGAAGATCAGCAAAGAACACATTACAAATCTCTCAAGACTCAATTGTATATCTATGTTAAAAGCAAATGAGACTTTATCGACCATATTTGACCTAGTAGTGCTCTTTAATTGGCTCATAATTATGTTTTCAACTTGTTTTTTCAAAATTAGGGTTTAAATCTTGAGTTTTCTCAATGATTTCAAATGAGCTTGAAATTAGGAATTTTTACAGAAATAGAAGGGCTCAATCGATCAACATGTTCTAAAAAAAATCAGATTGCAGTCCAAAATGACTCAATCGAATCATCGACAATGTGTGTTTCAGGAAAATCTCTAAAACTATATTCTAAAAGGATTCTACGTTCTATACCTCATGGGACTCCTCTATTCACTATATTTATGGGGATCTAGTCAATCTAGGGCATTTATACAAGTATCTAACACAGTTGAGAGAATTCAAATTTTTAGAGAGAAAGAAAGCCTTGTTTCTCAATCTAGGATTTTCCACAGATTATTCATTATATGTGACCAAGGAATTCGAAGCAAAGAGTACATCAGAGAATTCAAACAACAACAAATCAATCGAGGAAAGCGTGAAGTTGAGGGATTGAACATCCATGGAGAGGTAAACCATGTGAGGAGTAGGCCTGTTGATGGATCAGCGGTTGGAAGGAGCAAAAAGATCTTACATAAGTCTGCGTTAGAAACACAGTTCGTTCTCCTCTCTTCCCTCCCTCCTCCTTCCTTCCCTCCTAAAAAACATAGCCCAAGTCTTCAGGCACCCAGTCTGCTCCATCAACAGATTCTGCTCCTCATACAATCTACTTCTTCAATAGCACTTCGATCTCCAGACCAGTCATCCACACAATCACTGAAGGTTGACTATTTGGTGTTGAATTTCAATTAAACTCAGGTGCAGTATGTTCACAACACATATATAACTCACCAATCTATATGCGGAATGATTGATGAATGAAAAATATAATGCTCTCTATTGTATTTTCAGTGTGTATAGGTCTTCTAAGTATTGTTGCCGTGCGTGTAGGTCTTCTAAGTAGTGGAGTATTTATATACAAAATAGAGAGGTAGAATGGTTGGGATTGTAGAGCTCTAAATAGAAAAGAAAATCATAGGTCAATCAATCGAGATCACATGTCAACCGATCATGTGCTGGCACCCTTGGATTGATCTCTCAATAAATCAAATTTCCCTGTACACTCTATGCATACAAAATTAAAATTAAAATTAATTTTTTTTTAAAAAAAAATAGATGCAGTAGTTTCCAAAAACTAGTGATGCATATCAAAGATGATTTTTCCAAACCAAAACTCAGAATAATAAAACCGCAATTGACAAATAGATGAACCCCAATTTGGCGAGTGCATATATTCTGTCAAATTACCTTTGTACCCTTAGCTTTGAAGATTACCAGTCTGCCCTTGGTTGTAATTTTACATCCGATTCCGTCCTTGGACAGGTGGTAACTAACATTACATTAACTTTCAAAAATCTAACTAAAGCCAAAATAAAAACTTAAAGGTTCTTGTTTTGATAAAAAAAAAAAAATTGCAATGTAGTCCTATTGACCTAACAAAACGAAAGAGATGTTTTCTTACAACAGATCAATACAATATGTTAACTGAGAGGCTTCCATCACTTTAGCAGCCTAAGAGAGACTGGAACAGGCTGGAAGCCTCCCCATTTGCTTTTCTTTCTTCTCTCCTTTTCAACTTTTTAAACCCTCATCTCATGCGAAATAGATTGAAGCCACCCCTGTAATGTTTCTGATTTTCCTTCTTTTCCATTTTCTGGGAATTTTCCCAATTTTTGGAATTATTTTCATCTTGTCTCGTTTTGTGTGCCGGACACCGTGGGGTGTGCCGGGTGTGTTGCGAGAGTTGGTTGGGACATTTCCTCGAATTCAGGACTCTTAGAAATACATTAGTTGCCATTTCGACATTTTTCCATTTTTCGGGCAAGAGGTCCCAGGTGGGACCCGCAACCGGAGTGGTGGTGTACAGGGATTATTTTTCAGTTTTGTTGCATTTCATACATTATATTTTTATGCATAATTACTTGGTTAAATGTTTAAAAGTGTAATTGTAATATGGTTAGTATATATATATATATATATATATATATATTAATGTTTAAGGTTGATATTTGTTGAGGGGGGAACCACCATTACATTATATCACTGCATATGGCCTTTGGGTCATTAACTGACTCTCAATATCTCTCTCCCTCTGCTGCATTCTCTCCCAGTTTCCATTTTCTTTTTTCTTTTTCTTTTTCTTCAACCTTTAAGCTTAGATTTACCACAAACCATTGAGACTTCGATCTTGCCATAAAAGGCAAAGTTGACAAGCTCGTTGAGGACTATGTTTTGATCAGAGCAGATCTTGAATTGGCCACCCTTTGAATTTCGAATTTAGGGGCTGAATTGGGGCTTTTCTTGTTTCTTGAGGTAGGGGTGTTCTAATGCATGTTTCTTTGATTTTCATGAATTATCCCTTATGAATTTCGTTATTTGCATGCTCAATTTTGTGAATTTTGTTCTTGGCAATTATGGTTAAATGCATAAGATGTGATAAATGCACTCCATGGAATAACTGTGTCGCTATATGTGTTTTTATTCGAAATTTGTGAACGAGCATGCTTAGTATTAAATTGTCGTATGCCCTATATTCTCAATTGCCATGAAATTGAAATTTAATTGTGAAAAATTGATGCTTTGAAATTCTTTCAACTATGCAAGTATGATGTAGATGATATGTATGGGATTTTGTTGTTGAGTTGGCATTTGGAATCATGGGGAAAGAAAAAAAAAGGGGAAAAGTGTTTTTGAAAAGCAAAAGAAATTGTTTTGGGGGAAAAAGTTTTTGAAAAGGGTGAAAACCCGGACGCCTAGGAGTCACCTAGTGGTCCGTGGCATTAGTGTGGTCTAGAGGGTACTAGGGAGATACCCTAGCGTGGTTGAGCTACCTAGGCCAGATACGACGCCTTGGAGTTGCCTTGTGGTGGTGGATAGTTAGCCAATTCTCCTCTCGTAAAGCCTTGGAGTCGCCTTGGGTCGGATTGCACTAACGGTTTGAAAGGTGAAATCATATTGTTTCGGAAAATGGGGAGCGACATTGCATGGCATGGCATTTCATTGGCATGTATTGCACACTTGGTAGTCAGGTAACTTGAGTATGTATTTGTTGATACTATTACTATTTTTATTTACTTCCCAAGGCATGATTCCGTTCACTTACACTCTATTCTTTATGTGGATTCACGTGGTCGTAAAAGGTGTGTCTTAGACACTTCCTACTAAGCAGTTGGCTCACCCCATTTTATTATTAACAATTTTCAGGATGCGGAAAGGAAGTGGCGGATGACGCTCCTCCACAGGTTTTGATAGTAGCGGACTATTGTGACATATTTTGTAGCTATGATCTCATTTTTTATTACTATTATTATTATTATTATTATTATTATTATTATTATTATTATTTTATAAGCCTTGGGATGACACGTATATTATGTATTGACATAGGAAATGACGGTAGTGTCCTTAGTTGACCTCGGGTTCGGGTAAGGACCCGGTTAGCAATTCGGACCCTTGGGTTCGGGTTGTTACACCCTCACTCTTCTTTATCTCTCCTCCTCTCTACAATGTGCTAGTGAATCGTTTCAATTGCTAGCTTGTTATAGATTTTGTTCTTTGACCATCAAAACACAAATAAACAAATGCAAACACCATTTATTTATTCCGATTAAATAATCAAAAATCATTGAGTCAAGATAATATTTCTTACAGATTACACACTGTACTAACTAGTCTTATTATAAACCAGATCCTAATGATAGGTTAGCACAAAGTATCATCTGTCTCTAAAGCAACATAATCTGTACACAACAAAACTTCGTGAAAAAACAATTTTAATTGCACTTATCGGAGACCACAATCTGCACCTTCAAACCCACATTTTTAATCATAGTCACAGACATCAGCATCCAACTTATATGAACAGATACTTTTATAAAAAAATGTGCACATACATATATGTACAAAAGATAATATGATTTATCCCAAAACAAAAAACCTAAGGGATGAATATTTGATTGTGAGCAGTGCTCCTATTGGAGGGCTTTCTTTCCTCCGCCACTTGCAGATCCTTTTATTTCTCCTTAGTTGGGCTCTTTTCTTGCAATAGTCTAATAATAATACTACACTAATGTAAGATTGCACCTCATACTAGAAAATCCATACGATCTCAAAATTTAAATGCATATCATTTAGGAAGACAAACAAATAAGAAAATCAGTTCTTAATTAGTAAGAGAAGCTAAAACAGGTGCAAGAAATCCATTTACTGATGACAGCAAGTTTGCAATTTCAGCCAGTGTTTATGAGCAATCATTTCTATTTTCCAAAATACAGGTAGAAACACGTGTGCATGACAAAATACAAGTCAAGTATCAATTTCATTAGCTTACCACAAGTGATCTTTCTATGCTCATTGGTGAAGACCTTAACTAGTTCACCCTGGAATTGCAAAAGGAAAAAAAAAAAAAAAAAGTAGAGATTTTAGTTTTACGTGATTATAAATTTGAGAACAGTACTGACACTTTGGTTTTATATCAAACAACTATGCTGCATAATCATCATTGACACGAAGGCGGATTCTGACTATTGATATAACCCAGTACGCAATAAGTATACCATTAGCATAAAAATGTGCAGAAATGGTTTTTGACAAATACATATATATATATATATATATCTCGAAATGTAATATTTTAGTAACTTTTTGAGACCAGCAGCACCAATAAACAGCTAGAAGCATATAATAAAAAAATTCAGGCCCAACGTGTAAAACCATTAATCCGAACTCCAGACCGAAAAAAACCACAACCTTTCAATCACTTTGCCTGGTTCACACGCTAACAAGTGTCATTAAGTAGCCTAAGGAGTTCTAGATGCCTAAATTTTCAAAATGAGGTCTCCTAGGAACCTACCACATACTATTCTCAGGTGTTTCCTGCCAATACAATGGTCAAAGTGTTGGTATATGTTAGTAGATATGATAGTCACGATTTATGGAATGACTTACCATATTAGTAGAGATTTGATAGCCACAAATCATGGTATAGAATATGCCATAGAATATGATGTGATTTGATTTAGATTTGATTTAATTTCCTTTCTTGTAATATGAGCATGTACTCTTTTTATCTTTAAATACTAGAGATGTGAATGAGTGATTAATCTCATTCAAGCCTTTACACAATTCTCTCCTTTTTGTTCTTTTTATATTTCTACTTAATATCAGAGCTAGGGTGGTCCGACTGCAATGAGGCCATTGCGAGTTCGGCACCACCCTCTCAAGAATGGTCTAAGGGTGACATCACCCATCTGGGAGGTGTCGCGTAGGCAGGGTGGTTCGACCTCAATGAGGGCGTTGCGAGTTTGGCACCACCTATTCAAAAATGGTCTGAGGATACATAGTTGTTTCTTTTTTATGGTATGAGGAGACATTGTTGATTCTTTCATCTACATTGTTTAAACATACGCATGAAGGGGAATGGTCTGAGGAGATATTGTTGATTCTTCCATCTGCATGTTTTAAACATGTGTATGAAGGGAAATGGTCTGAGGAGACATTGTTAGTTGTTTACGGTCTGAGGAGACATGATTGGTTGTTTATGGTTTGAGGAGACATTGTTGATTGTTTATGGTCTGAGGAGACATTTTTGATTTATTGATTGACACTTCATTTGAGAGGAAATCATCGCTAGTAAAATTTGCACTTTGTAACTTGTAGATTCTGAAGAAAGGTGCTAGCAAGACCGTGTTTGAAGATGCATTGTCCAAATCGGTTGTCTCAGATATCCACACACCAACTTGAGGGGGAGTGTTAGCAGATATGATAGTCACAATTTATGAAATGACTTACCATATTAGCAGAGATTTGATAACCACGAATCATGGCATAGAATATGCCATATAATATGATGTGATTTGATTTAGATTTGATTTAATTTCCTTTCTTGTAATATGAGCATGTTGTCACGGGTTTAGAGTTTCAGCACCACTCTAGCTACTCCCGTGCGGCACTAAGACGTTGCTTCTACTCTTGCAAGTACTTGGTCAGCCTAACTCCCGTGCACAGCTTAGCCAACACACTCCCCTCGTGCACTTACTAGTGTTGTAGTGGCCCTCGTCCTCTCCTCACTTGGCTTGCACACTCACACACACTAAGGCACTTAAGTTGGCAAGGAAAGAACACTTCTATTACTTCAAAGAATGCTTTGTACAAGGCTAGCACTCAGACTCTCTACAAGGCTCTTAAGGCTCACTCCAGGATTTGTTGGCTACAAAATGAAGTCCTACTCCTATTTATAGGCATCCCCATCCCTAATGGATGGCTAGGATGCATTCTAACCAACGGTGGAGATCGATTCTCTAGAATCTTCTCCCACTTTCTTCACACTTCCATACTTATCTACTAGTATCTACAACATTCTACAACTCTCCATACTACTCCACACAATTCTGGAGAACTCTACAATATACTACACATATCTAGAATCTTCCACACAACTCTAGACAACTCCGGAAGACTCTAGAAACTCCACTCGCCATGCAGTTGCCATGCAACGTCCTCCTCAGCGTCTGCGTGTCGCTTGCATGACACAACCTCCATAGGCGGGGCGTGACAATGTGCTCTTTTTATCTATAAATACTAGAGCTGTGAATGAGTGATTAATCTCATTCAAGCATTTACATAATTCTCTCCTTTTTCTTCCTTTATATTTCTTTTGTATAGCATCTAAAGATAGGGGGTTACATAAACTGGTTTGAAAATGGCTTTTTTTACTTGGCTTGCAGCCCTCGGGAGGATTCTTACTTTAGACAATCTTAGAAGGAGACGACAGATTGTGGTAAACTGGTGCTGCATGTGTAAGAATGCTAAGGAGACGGTAAACCACATTCTTCTTCACTGTTCAGTGGCAAGGGGCGTTTGGTCTATGTTTTTTGCTATGTTCGGAATGTATTGGGTGTCGCTCGGTTCCACAGTCGACATAATCGAGGCTTGGAGAGGGTGTATAGTGAATAGGCAAGCCAGGGATGCTTGGAGGGCCACTCCTATTTGTTTATTGTGGGGCTTGTGGTGCGAGAGGAATAGGATATCTTGTGATGGAGAGGAGACTTCTATTTGGTCTCTCATGTACATCATTATTAGTTCTTTATTCTTTTGGGTAAATGGGCGAAATTGTAAATCTGTGGGGGACTTAGTGGATTTTGCTGATAGCTTGAGATTATAGTTGGCTGTGGTTGGGTTTTTGTGTGTTCTATAGGGAGCGCTCCCCTCTTGAGCGCCTTTTAAAGAAACCTTAACAGAAAAAATAATAATAAAAATAATAAATAAATAAATAACTGCAAGAAATTTTTTTTTTCCCCGGCTGCAAGAATGTACCTTGCGCTTCCTGTTATCCAGAGGCTGGACTTCAATAGCAAGGAGTGTATTAACATCATCAGCAGTAACAAGATAGTTTGGTTGCTTTGCCCCTGCCATAATAAACTTCTCAAGAGCTAGACAAATTTCGGAAAAAAAAAAACACAAAAAGAGGAAAACATTAAACAAAAAAAAAAAAATCAAAAGAAGCATAATACCATCTATGTAGTTGACAGACCCATCTTCCAAGTGGCGAACCCACTGTGAGGGCAAAAGATAGCAAATTTTAAAATGAGTTGCATGAAAATCCAACAGAAAACCTCCCCAAATTAGGCATTTCATGGTTTTACTTGGCAAAGTTTGACAACAAAACGTAATGATAAATGAGATAATAGAAAAAACTGAAGCTAGATCCAAAGAAACACCTCAAAGTTGCAGCTTGTTGTTCCATTAATAGAGTATCCGCTTGCTTGTAGTTTCCGTCCTGGAAAAGCGTCACCGGAAATTTGGAGGCCATCTATTGCTGGTAGTGGATCATCATCTCCAGCTGGACATTGCAGTGAATTTAGTGCAACAGCAACGCTTAATCAACACAAAAGACAAAAGCGCAAGAAAGTCTCACCCTCAGAGATAGAGGAGGAAGGTTCTTCAAGAACCGGTGGTAAATAATGAGGATATGATGAGCTGGGATCATTCATTGCAGTTGTATAGGGAGAATTTCTTGAACCCCAATTAGAAGGCTCTATCTCACTTTGTTGTCCCTCTACATAGAAATCATCGACCTCACTTCTGCTGACAGGGTCACTAAAAGTGACTTGTTTATTGGTGGTCTCTTTGCCGTAATGTGTAGAATGCAATTCATCCCGGCTTACAACAGGAAGTGAAGGTACATCCTGGGATGTGGTGTCCCTGTAAGAATATTAGAAACATTAAAGCAAGACCAAAATTGACACAATCATTATAATGTCGATAAGTAATTGAAATATGCAAATTTTGGAAACATTCTATCTCCCTATGTAACATTACAAAGATTACAAAAGAACTTCTGCACACAATTTTATTGGTAGAAATAAATTTATTTCGATAAATGGGGAAAAAAAGGGAGAGAAATTGTCCAACAAGGTACTGAATCACCCATATATTATCTAATAGAATGTCGAAACTTTTTATTAAAGAAGCACGTACACTTCCACAAAGAAGCAGAGTATATGTTGAAACACCATATAAAATCCAACACATGCCTATACTCGCACACTCCAAAAAAAGGCCACAATTTAATGTAGATTTTCTCACTAGGCTGACATGCCAACAAATAGTTGGACATCCATTGGACAAATAACATAATAGAAATAATCGGTAATGTGCAAAGCTGGACAAGGTGTCATACAACAAAAAGAGGAAAAAGGAACAGAACAATAACCACTATAAAATAAAAACAAAAAATCAACTGAGACAGATTATCCCTCACAACTCAAGCGATCTAGACCACATCATATCCAAGAACTCCACCCTGCCATCATGCAATTCGTGGAGGCAAGGGAAAAAGAACATTCCCTAACTTAATGATCACAGTTCCAAGAACCTCTTCAAGTTTACCCAACCAAAAGTCATCCCATTCCACCAAACGATGGGTCACTCTTAAAAAGACTGCCGTTTAATATCATCTAGCACACTCAAGATCTTTGCTTTAATAGCCTCAATTCAACTGACCAGTTTAAATGCTATAATAGAAATTATTCCCCACATCCATGAAAAAACACCCGTTCTACTTTGTCTCAAGTCTCCCAAAAGAGCAACAGAGTTAATTTGAAGCACCCAAAATGAATGAACTTTCCAAAGACCAATGGTTAACTTTATGAATAACATAAAATGAAGCATCAACCCATTCTCTTGGATTCAACAAAAGAGGACATGTTTGAAATCCTTCATAACTGAAAAAATTGAAGCAATTTTGAGCTAGAACGAGCAAGATAATTTGAAGGTTTAGATTCCATTTCGGGAAAAGTGTAAAACATGAGGTCTGCTACCATGTCCATGTTCATGAAATATAGCTCTGAACACAGTTTTACATCATACACTTCCAGAATTTCAAACCAAGCAAAGTGAATACTCTTGGTAATAAGCTAACAGAGTCGATTTAACCATCAAATGTCCTCCTCATTGTGAAGGATAATTCCAAAATATTCTAGTGAACTTCTTCTTCCATAAGCTATGCGAACCTCTGCTGGAAAAAAGGTTACTGCAGAATTACATTTGATAAAGCCTCGCCAGTTTCTTGGGAACATCCAGTTTACAACAAAAAGCTTTAAAAATGAGATCCAAATGTTACAATATATCATCCGCAAATAGTAAAGTGAGATCATGTTCACAAATCTACACACAATGCATTGGATAAATGAGATTCAACCCTTGTTTATTGGGTGATCTATAATCTGAATCTTACTGAAAAACATTGTCTGGATAAAGAATGCAATCTTACTGGGTTTCTTCCCGGCATAAGTATGCCAACTAGAAGGAATAAATAAATAAATTTCTGCATGCAGATGCAAATGCAAACAGGGAGAGAGGTGTCCTGACTTTAATCAATCTCTTGTATCCCACCCACCAGTCTCGTGTATCAAATTCATGGCATAAACGATTCCAGTCAATTTGAGAGGAAAGAGTATCATTCTGTAGTATAATATCTAAAAATCCCTCAAATCCCCAATTGACCAGATTTCCTCAAGAGCAACCACTGAATTTGGACTTGATCGCCCTAGTCGCAGAGGTTTCCAACATATAGTACTCTCATTGCTGGCTTCCTGCAGGAGCAATATTTTTCCAATCCCTTGTAATTTAACTTCAAGTAAGTGGCCCGCATCTACTCTTCTTGAGAACAATTGCCCTCAAAATTTCCAGCAATCTCTTGCTCTAAAACATCCAATCATAGCCAAAGAGACCAACAGGCCTGTGGCCTAGCGGTACAAGGCTCCTACTTCCCAAAGGAAGTTAGGGGTTCGAACCTCAGTGGAGGCAGTGTGTGTGAGTCCCAACTAGGGAAAAAGAAATAATCATAGCCAAAAAGCCCCCAGCTGAAAGGATCTAAACACAAAGCACAAATCAAATTAAAGATAAAGCACAAATCAAAGAGACTAAACCACAAAGCAAAAGCTTTGAAACAATGAATAGAAATGGGTTGGTAGCCCATTACTCCTTTTGCAAATAATAGATATATTCTAGCTAAGGGCTTCATAAGGTACACTAACAAGAACTTGTAAAGTAAACCTTAATTGACATTACATATGCAGTGAACCAATTTGATCAGGGATGACTTGGGCTCAATTCGTACAAGGGTCGGCTCAATTTGAAGCCCAAAGGGACATCAAGTAGGTGGCCCGCATCTACTCTTGTTGAGAATAATTGCCCTCAAATTTTCCAGCAATCTCTTGCTCTAAAACACCCAATCATAGCCAAGAAGCCCCCAGCCAAAAGGATTAAAACACAAAGCACATATCAAATTAAAGATAAAGCACAAATCAAAGAGACTTGCTAGCAGATATGTTAGCCACAATTTATGGAATGACTTACCATATTAGTAGAGATTTTGATGTCTCCTTACACATTTCTATATTGCATTTCTTCTATCTTGTATTTCTTCTTGGTATCAGAGCCAGGGTAGTCTAACTGCAATGAGGCCATTGCAAGTTCGGCACCATTCATTCGAGAATGGTCTAAGGAGATATCGCCCATCCAGGAGGTGTTGAGTAGGCAGGGTGGTCTGACCTTAATGAGGGCATTGCAAGTTCGGCACCACCCATTTCGAAAATGGTTTGAGGAGACATGGTTGCTTTTGTATTGTCTGAAGAGACATTGTTGATTCTTTCATCTACATTGTTTGAACATATGTATGAAGGGGAATGGTCTGAGGAGACATTGTTGATTGTTCTATCTACATATGTTAAACATGTGTATGAAGGGAAATGGTATGAGAAGACATGGTTGGTTGTTTATGGTCTGAGGAGACATTGTTGAATGTTTATAGTCTGAGGAGACACTTTGATTTGTTGATTGGCACTTCATTTGAGAGAAAATCATTGCTACTCAAATCTTGCACTCCTCACCTTGCAGACATTCTTACAAAGGGAGTCCGCAAGATTGTGTGATTGTGTTTGAGGATGCATTGTTCAAGTTGGGCGTTTCAGATATCCACGCACCAACTTGAGGGGGAGTGTTAGCATATATGATAACCACGATTTATGGAATGACTTACCATATTAGTAGAGATTTAATAGCCACGAATAATGGAGTTTGACTTTATTTACGTATATGTCTAGCCATAGAATATGTTGTGATTTGATTTAATTTCCTTTCTTGTAAAATAAACATGTGCTCTTTTTACCATAAATACTAGAGCTGTGAATGAGTGATTGATCTCATTCAAGCCTTTTACACATTTCTCTTCTCTTTCTTCTATATTGTATTTCTTCTAGACTCAACCACAAAGCAAAAGCTTTGAAACAATGAATAGAAAGGGGTAGGTAGCCCATTACTCCTTTTGCAAATAATAGATATATTCTAGCTAAGGGCTTCATAAGGTCCACTAACATAACCTTGTAAAGTAAACCTTAATTGGCATTACAGATGCAAATGAACCAATTTGTTCAAGGATGACTTGGGCTCAATTCATATAAGGCTCGGCTCATGTTCGTTCGTTCATTCATTAAGTAAATGAACCTAGCTCAATTAAGGTCTAGCTTGGAGATTTCAAATCTTCAACATGCTTCCATAGTTCTTAATGAACCGCTTTCTTAAGTAGCATCATTACTTGGTAGTTTTCAAGTCACTTCGATAAAACCCCACCAAAAAAAATCACATGCTTTAAGATGGACAAAAATTCTAACACTCCATTCTGCATAATTATAAAAAATAAATTTTAGATCTTTCTATTTTTCATTAAAGTATTAAGGGTGTGTGAAAAACCATTAGAACTGGTAAACTAGACCAGACAAATAGTCTGGTTCTGTGATGGAACAGCTCGATTCCGGTTCTAAAACATAACAAACCGTTCATTACAGTTTGGTTCTCGATTTGGGGTCCAAAAGGATTCAACCGAGTTGTTAGTAACAAATAGATATATATTATATAAAAGATGCAGTGTCTAAACATTGCTTACTTTCAAACAAAGTTGTTGCCATAAATCGAGTTCAAGTGGCATTTTCTCCCTAGTTGTTTAGATTTGATAGATCTTTTCTACATCATCATCATCATTTGCCTATTCTAATCTACCAATTAAAGAATGTCTAGCATATAAAAGACTTGGAAGTTAAAAAATAAATAAGTGATAAACTTAACGATTGCTTCTTCTCATCATTATTACCAATATGAGTAGAAATCCACCAAAACCCTAATCCTGATGTGAAGTTTTATCTATCTATGTTCAGAATTTATCATATCAATGCATACAAGAGAGACCTATAAACGGAAGTCACGAATAAATGATCCATTGGATTATAAGGATTAGATCAGATCAAGAAATAATCTTATCAGATTAGGACCGGATCATTCTTGAATGAATCTGTTGAAATATATAAATATTTCTATATAATTGTGGAGCAAAATCCTCCACCAATCACGGTGATCCGATCAATTTCCTTCCAACTATAAATATTTCTATATAACAGTGGAGCAAAATCCACCACCAATCACGGTGCCTCCTTTGACTGTTGTACATCTCCCATATCTTTTACCTTTACCATGCCTATTTATAGGCTCTTTGTACTCAAACAACATATACATCTGAATAATAGAAATGTAGCCCTTAGTAGGTCTTTGTCCATGGATGTAGGCCTTAGTGCCGAACCATGTAAATCTCTATATTTTCCATCTTCCGCTTACTCTTGATATACATTTTATATTTGCATATTCAACTT